TAAATCCTTCCCCGAGTCATTGGACACGTATGGTGCATTGGATGTTATCTACAAAATGACGTCAACAATTCTTGCAATGCGAAAATAGCAATTGGTACGGGACCTTCGTTACGTACGACCGAACTCTAATAATAATGATCTTAAACCAAGTGGCCACACCGCGAGGCCAACTTTACGAAGTACACATCACGTTTTTTCATCATTCTATACCTCTATCTCTCACTCTGTCTTTCTCTGAGACATCTCCCACCAATCACTCCACCACCGCGGCATCTTCTTTTTATCCCTGCAGTCTTGTCATCTATACCCCGAGTGAGGTCTCCAACTTGCGCAATCACTTTTAGAGTTGACAAATAGTTTTTAATAGTAACCGCACCACCCAGGAAATCTGACGAGGCTATTTAGCAATCGAACGAATCCATTCCCAACAATTAATCTCTTTTTTTTCCTTCTGCGAATGTGGCTTTTATTCGGACAGGAAATACCTGACGTTCGTAGAAAAAAAGAAAAAGAAAAAACTACTGGTCAAACGTGTGAGATAAGAGCCGATGGGATTTCGACATGTTGGCTCGTCCACTCGACAATTCCCAGAAATTTCATTTTATTTTTTCTCTCCTCGTTATTTTCATTAGATCAGAAATGATTGCGGTGTGGGACTCATCAAGGTGGCAGAATCGAACATTAAGACACCGAGATGTGGAAAATAAATGGAGAAGTGGTGGTGATAAAGCAGAGAATAAAGGGAATCGTAAGGTCGACGAGTGACGAGGCGATTTAATTTCGCCGCACGGACGAAGCCAACAATAAACACGAAAAAGGGACCCCGACGTGTCGTGGTTTATTACATTTTTTTCCTCCTGGCGAACCTAATGGGCCACAGGGTGAAATAGTGTCAAGGCTGTGGGAATCCTTCGAATGGCCAGAGAGAATAAGAAAAAAGAAGAAGAAGAGAGGGAAAAGGACAATTTTTCTAAACATAGATGAAAATCCCTTCGGAAGGGACATCTGGGGAGATAAATATTTTTGAAATATCGTGGCAACCCTTATGATAAAAATGACTGGGTTAACGCTTCAATGACTTTAGTACACCTTATTCCCCTGTTTATCGGGTCTTACCCATCTTACAAGGAGGTTAGTCACGTACCTGAGGTAGTGAGAGTAAATGGATGGACGAAGTGACGTACGTCTAGACAGGGGGCGCCGAGGGATATGTAATGTATATCCAGTACTTCAAACATCTTACACTTTGCTTTGAGTAGCCGAGAGTTTATCGATAATCACTCGACGTTAATGCTTGTGTAAAACCGGGGGTTGACGATAATGCAACTCTGCCATTTACCTTCTTCTTCATTTTTCCACTCTTTTTTAAATATCAATTTCACCCTTTTTTTATACCGCGGCATAAATACCGGAGCGGAAATTGAGGGGATACACGAGCTCATGGCGTGACACTTCAACCACTACCGAATTTTGTGACATCAGTGATAACAATAACGGTACAGCTTCGGTTATCACCAAACACCGATTCTGTTAACTGATAATGAAAAAAAAAAACTGAAACGGTGAACCATTGATTCGATCGCCCAAATCGTTCATGAAGAATTATTCTACACTATCCGATATCCGAGTATTTTCGAGATTTTGCAGAGGACCCTACCGTCGATTCTCCGATGAGATAACAAATCGCTACTGTTGAAACTCTTGGAAACCCCATGTTTTGGCACGAAATCGAAGGCGGAAGTATTATGTACATGAAGTAACTTGTTATGGATCTATGAAAGTTATTTTATGCACAAATCTCGTTATTTTGCATTAATCGCGCGATATCTAGATTTCCCAGAGTAAAAAAATTGCTCCCTGATAATTATAAATGAGAATTGCCTCAATAAAAAATAAAGGAAGCAATACCGAGTAAATAAACATAATGTCGCAGAATGCCCACCCAAAAATTCAGCCATCCATGAAATCACGATGATCCATAAATAATTGGGCGAATAATTCCTCTCGCGAGTGACAACAAAAAGCAGTGAAAAGTAAAGTCGAGGGTGCATATTTCATAGAATACAACAGAGCTCCATATCCCCGTATCTGGGGTGGAGTCTTTTTCATTTCAAGGGCTGATCGGTGGAGTTGAGCGTCATATGAATATGTAGTTGTAGTTCTCCAACTACAACTGCAACAGGGGATAGTTAAAAGTGGATAGCGTGCGTCCACACGAATTGGGGAAAAGGGCCCTTCATGTAAAGCCCAGGTGGCTAGTGAAAACCTCTTGGGCTCCCCTTTTTTCCATTCCAACCCCCTTCCCTCCAATGCGTATCAACAATTCCCCCTCTTATTCCATTGGCACATGCGGAAAAGACAAAAAAAAAAATGAAGGGAACGTCAAACACGCAAAGCCTATCCGAGAAACTGATGAACAGCCGACCCTGGATTTCGTGATTCCGCATAATTCCCAAATATTTCTAATAAAATTTATTCACTATGAATAGGAAAAATTAGAGGGAGAAGGCAGCGAAATGAATACTTCAGACATTGTTTTTTGGCTATTCATAACTCAGGAATAAATTGAGCAATTGAGCTCAATCTGAGTTCATTAGGAGGAGAAAGAAGTGTACTCTTTCAGAGGAAAAAATTATCCCATTTAATCCACAACTGAACGAGTTTTCAACATTTGAGAGAAAGTTTAATGTATCTATTTAGCTCTCTTCTGGCCTACATCATCAGAGTCAAGCAAAATAAATTTTGCCAGGAATGATTTTTTATTCAGTCCCAAAGTTTAGAAATCCCAGTATCCAATCGGGCTGAAATAAAAAATTTCTGAAGTATCCGACTATTGTGCTTAACAGAAGGCTATCTATAAACTGAATTATATTCAGCTCCTATTTCCCTCGGAAACGAAATAGAATGAATTTGTATCTCATTTAACGATTTTTCGGACCGCAAGAATGATGAAAAAAACGAGTCGAGACGTCAGAGGAAGCGTCTCAGGAAAAAAAAAACAAATAAATACAGAAGCCCTGGGTAAATCTATCCAGAGTTTATTTCGGCCAACGATTTGGCACCGTCTACGGCAAATAGGAAAGCACGAAATCACTAGGAGAAAGCGACGGAGAGCAAAATGCCCAGCGAATCCGAGACCGTATGATCCTCCTTCTCCCGGCGTCTATCTATTTATATCGTTCAAGAAGGGCGGCTTAATGAGTCTAGGAACTGTCACAACGAGTGAGATACGATCCCCCTGGGGTGTCATCGGTGATTCAGATAGAGACAACCAAAAACTACACCATTACATGCCTCAAAGAGCCGAAAACTCGGAGGGGGGGGCTAAAGAAAAAAAACTATTTCAAACTCGAATAAATGTCGTTCAAGGTCGACCGAAAAGATTCTCAAAAAACCAGCGAAAAAAAAAATGCCACAGAATAATTTCCGCTGGCATTTTAGACATCTTCAGTTTTTTTATACCTTACAGCCACTCGGATAAATCAACCTCCAATATTTTTAATTCCAAAATTCGAGAGTTGTTTCATCGAGTTGATCTGTAAACAGGTGTACCCCACGAATCTGCAATCGTCGAATCAATTTGTCCGGTAAAAAACACCAGCCAAACCCGATAAGATAGAGAATAACAACCGGCTAAACGATACCTAAATCGTACAGAAAATATTCGAGAGGGGTGAGAGGAAGTGGCGAAAGCACACCGGTGGTCTCTCGTCTCACATTTAAATCGCAATATCGATTTATCGATTTGTCTCGCCACCGGTTGCGTGTCTGGAGTTACGTATTCGTATCAAATATAAAGTCGCAAAAATACCAACTCTCGAGTTAATAATCCAAAAAAGAAACGAATCAAGTGAAGTAGAAGAGACATTGTCGTAGGGAGCGAATGGATATTTTTTCCCCCTCGAGAGATATGAAAAGAATCATCCACTCCGCCATTCTCGTTCTGAGAACCCTGTTATTTGTTGAACGTAGGCGGCAGCATTCGCGGAAGAAGAAGAAAAAAAAAGAAATAATAAAATTCTGTTAAAGGAATACAACGCGTACAAGATTTGTATCCGTCAGTCGAGGTCGTACTTGCCAATATTATATTATCATTTTTATCTCAACTCCCAATCCCTCGCTGACTAACGACAGATCGTATAATAATACAACGACAATAAATCTTCACTGGACCCATGCATTTGTCAGTATCTACTACGATTCTAAGATCATTTCAAATTGCTTTATTGTCCGCTGTCTAAGTGCATTGCACATTCGTTATAATCCAGTGGTGGAGACCACAAGTCGCGACTTGATTCTAAAAATTTGTACCTTGTCATTGGCTGTACGATAACGCACTAGATAGACTTGAAAACAATCTCACCCTACAAAAGAATGATTGTGAATTATTCCCCGGTACTGACATAAATGTCCCCGCACTTGATTGACCATTTCTCTCGCCTGTTGATTCACAAACTAACCGCCTACAATTTTTTTCTCCCCCGACTATAAACAACTATAATCACCTATAAACAACGATAAATAACTAATCGATTTTACCTACTCCATTCACGAGGAGCAAATATTTTCATTCTGAAGGAACGACAAAGACGTGTTTTGCGCCTCATTCAATGACACTAATATCCTCCGCGGTTGCTTTCCAGGGAAAACAATTATTATTTTTTTTTATTCCAATGAAACAATAGTCCCTCTCCCTTTTTCCCCTCCATAAGCCCGATGTAGTCATCGGTTGAATTGCGAAACTCGTTCGCGCGCACACGCCTCGTCCCACGCGAAACAAAATCCCGCCAAAGCGAGTTCTGGAATACCATTAGCTATGTATATGTGGACATTCTAACAAAGACACTTCGGCATTATGCGTCAGACAAAAAAATGAAGAATAAAAAAATAAGAATAAAAATCCCAAGAAACAACAGAGAGTAGAAGTAGAAGACTGAGGGATTGATATCAAAGGGCTCCAACAGAGTCTCTAATACATGAATTTCAATGTTAAAACTCACTCCAAAAATAATGCACTGTATCCATCCAAGTCGCAAGTAAGTTGGGCTTTTCTCCGCGTCTGGTTGGATGGCACGTTTAAAACGGTAACTCGAGGGGGCAAAAGCGCGCGCGTTCCACAGGCCTCAGTATCTTCGAATGTCGAGGAAAAAGGAGCCAGAAAGCTCCAGTTCTCTCTCCCCCCCCTTCTCCACAAAACAACAATGAAACAAAAGAACCCACCGTTTTGTCTTGGCACAGCACGTCAAAAATTCACCTCAAATACACAAATTTTTATTCAAACCAAAATCTCGGTTTATTCACTCGCGATAACAGTCCCCGCGGTGTCCGCAGGTGTTTACCTGGACGTTCATGAGCGCTAGCCCGTTAAAAATCCCCGTGGAAATACAATCATCACAAACCGACTCACTCAAGTTCACGTATTAACTATCAAAATAAACACACCAGCACAGCTTGCTTACACCAAACAAAAACGCGTAGCTCCTCAAGAAAAAAAAAAAACAAAAGAAGAAACAAAACTTTAACAAAGGCAAATGCCAGATAACCTCAAATCACCGAAAAATTGTCGTGGGGAAAAAAAAAATCACACTGTCAGCCGTCGGACGCGGGACGTACAACCCCGGGGCCGCGAACACACGAGTTTTCGTAACAAACACCAGGTTTTGATGCCAGCTCACACCGTTGTCGGTGTACGTTTGAGCTTGACGTTATTCTCTCTCCCTCAAAGATCAAATCTATCCTTATTCCCAACTTTTGCTTCACCTCTCCCTTTTTTTTTCTCTCTATCTCCTCTCCTCTTTTGTTTCACCTTTTCTACTCTCCCACCTCCGCAGCAGCAACCACTCGAGATTTTATATGCCCTTTCTCTGTTAGCCAAGTAGTAGTTTTCGTGCGTTTAAACTCCACATACACCCGCTCTTGCCCACCACTCGTGCACAACTGTCTCCCTCTCTCCCCACCCTAGCGGCATTCAGCTGTACGTACAGTTCACCCCCTCTCTCGTTTTTATCTGTGTTGGTTACACAGGAGGGTTTATACCTTGGCTATTGGTGTCTCACTTCAGCCGCCTGACGGCAGCGGGCCGACGCTTTTCCACCACGCCGTCGGATCAATAATTCACCATATATTATCACCAAGTAGCGTACCGTGCGGTGATAGAGATGCACGAGTTCCCGGTGTACACTCCTTTCTCTCTTCCTCTACCCTTCACCACTACCACATTCACAACCTCCTCCCTCCTATCCCTCCCATCCTCCCCCTCCTAGTATACCACCCACTGATCCCCCTTACCCCCCACCCTAACCACCCGAGCAATCAACAACTTGATAATTTTCTAAATCAAGGAAACGACGGTCATCATGAATAAAATTATCGCAATCATATCTCCTGGCATTTGGATGAGGTAAGACGACGGGAAGTACGTCGACGCGACGGCGAACGTTCAAGTGCCGGCTGGCGCTTGCCCCTCGACAACACTTCGCCACGGTTTGTATTTGAGAGTTGGTTCAATCGCGCAGGCCAACCCACGGGGGTTTACGACCAAACACACGGATCAACGGTGTAGGCCTCACTCAGGCATCACGCACAGCCACCAACCGTTCACGGATCACCGTCGGATGCACAGGTTTTTTTTTTTCCCCTTTAATTCTAAGAATTACCGTCACGAGGAGACCCTCCAGAGGAGAGCAATATTTTAACGAGGAGCACAATATTATTGGAGCTAGTCTAACGAAAGCCAAACCTCACGAAAATCACCGAAAACAATAGATTATTTTATAAATAAAGATGACAAGCATCGGATATATGAAATTACCGCTGATTATTCCACGCAACACACGCGATTCTCTCTCTCTCTCGGTCCCTCTATCCCACAGGTTAAATCCTGATATTTTTACGGTATTAGTGGATTTTTATCGTTAGTTTACTCACCAGAGGTCGAGCGATGAGTGTTGATGACGGCTGATTCACAAACACTAATATTAGTCACTGAAATGGTTAATTGCCACGATATTTGGTAGTTGGAGGGTAAATACGAGAGGAGTTACTGTGTTTTTGGTATGCCAGGAATGGCACAAAGAATCTAGACAACGCACACGCCTGGTGCGCAGCCGGTCTGCGCACACGCTGACACCGAGCGGCCGCGGGAGAAACCAGAAACCGAGACTGGTCGAGTCACAGCGGAACTGCCCGATTCCCACTACCCGTCACCAAAATTTTTCCCCTCCTCTCGCGGTAAATCCCCACTCTCAACTATTCCCTTGATATGTCCAACCACGTGATCACGCTGCACTAGCTTTCCTAGGTTTGAGCCCCACCACTCTTGCCACTTGGGATTTTGTGTTGAGTCAAACCCCCACTCAACTCGTTTTCGTCAACACAGAGACTAGAGAGACGGTCAGTTGGAAGTCACGCACATGTGAAGGTAGGGCTCGTTGGCTTGCCAACGCAACGGCCAACTGCCACGGAAAACCCCTCTCACATTTACCTTTTTTTTTTTTATCCACTCTTCTCCTCTCCTCTCCTCACTCTTCCTCGCTCCACCACTGTATTTCTCTTGCTTCTCTCGTTTAAGTTTCAAACGAGATTGGGTAGGGGAGGCACTTGTTGATTTTCATTCGGAAAATCTTTGAGATTTTATTCACTTGTATTATTTTGATTTAACTAATTCCGAGCTTTTCTCCATGATTCTCGATACGCTCCAGAGTGATATTCTATTTTCTTTGAGGTTGCAATTAGGGGCGAAGGGTAATGTCTTTGGAATGAATTGGGGCTATTGTTTTTATTAGTCGGGGATTATGTCGGATCCTTGGGGGTTTCTCGTGGTACAATGGGTGGCGAATAAATAGGAAATCCTCGGAACATTTGCTGTTTGATTTAGGGGGCTTTCTAATTGTTGGAGTCGACGGATTTTGGGGTTCAGGCACTTGTGTACTCAGCGGATTCGGAAGATGAGTCTCATCGCGGAATGACTGACCCACTGAGGGTTTATGCCCTTTTCTGTCTCATTTTTGAGGGGCTCGTTGGAAGGAGATGGAGAGGACATTTTTTTTTTCGGCCTTTGACGAATAGCGCCTTTTTTTGTGGCACCCGGTGGAAAATACTGAGACATTCTCGGCTCTATCTTGAGATCCTCGTAATTCGGGGAAAAGTGGATGGGGATGGGCTCACACCTACTCTTAGTATTACCTGAAAGGACTGTTATGTATTATTTCTCTTCATCTTTATTTTCACCATGTCCGTCCGTCGACCTTGCTTGCGTGATGTATTATGTTTTATTGCGGGAATAAATCCACACTTTTTCTCACGGGTATTTTTGTAATGATCTTCATTAATGAAGCAATGGAATACCGTTGGGATTATGATTGGAGCGAATACAATTTTTAGGATTCAATCATCAGATTTTCCAATCCAAATGTCGGAAAAAAAGATAATATCGTTAATCAGCTTCGTGTTGTTTTACAAATTTAATTTTGTGGAATGAATATGAAATTTGAAACAATGCAATTCAATATTGGTTACGTATTCAAGAAGCAATATTTGGTTTTCTAAGTGAGCAGCTGATGAATGTTTTTGTGTAATATTTCCAATGATTATGCAGCAGAAAGAGAAATTTAGTTTTCAAAAACACTGAATATTCAAATTATTACAATTAAAATGGCATTTGAATTTACGCCGTAATGTTCGACTAGAATCGTTGGAGGTTTTTTTCTACGGATGAAAGGATCATTGAAGTACTTGTCTGTGTTCAATCTCCGGTAGGGTAAATCCGGCGAGAAGTTGAGGGAAGAACTTCCGGTGGGAGATGAATTTTTAGGGTGGATAAATCGCAATGCCTTGAACGTGACTCGCCATTACATGCACTTTCTTAGAGCCCCAGTTCGAAGCCTAGGGAATAGCTAGTCGAGATTTCCTAGCGTGATATTACTTCATTAAAGTTAAATCTGTACCCTCCCCCAAACTACCCCGATCGGTTTGCCCTTTTCCTCGGAACTTTATAGAAGAACGTCCAGAGAGACCCAGTCATTAGTCTAATTGCCATTTCGATTTGCCCTACTCTTAAGCCCCTTCAACATCGCATCGAGAACAAAATGACAAGCTAAATTTGTTTCTGCAAATGCGAATGTATAAATTTATAACATCAATTCCGGAAAATTACAAGAATGAAAAAACACCATCATCAAATTAATGGACAATAATTGAAAAAAAAACTAGAGCTTTCCTGAATAAAATTTCAAGTAACACGCAATTTTTCTCCCACCCCGTCATTTTTTCTCATTATGCAATGATGGTTTTTGCATTGAATGGCACCCACCTGAATTATATATACCCAGCAATAGCGTGATACCTCGAAGCGAGGAATCACCAGTGTGCAAGTTCATCGACACGAGGCCGAGTTGCACCTGACTCCGTCTGACTTCTGCAAGAAATTCGCCGAGTTGCGATAAAAGTCTGGGGCCCCCCATCAACCCGCCACCTCTACCCTGACGTTGCAGGATAAATTCAACCCGAGCATTAAGAAATAACGAGAAACTCCAGATCTCACTGTAGAAAAAAAAAAAAAATCCGCCTTGATTTCCCATTGTTCTCCTCAAAAATTTACCAGAACAAACACTCAGCGAACATTCACTGAGGAATTATCTTCCCAGAAGCATGAGGAGTGTCAGAATAATGGTTTCTGAATGCGTGGTTCCTTTTAATTGGACTGATGAAGCGCAGCCAGACGGCCCATTGATTCGTTGATATTGCGGGGCTTTCCAGGAATTCCACTCAATTCCCTCACTGAAAATGAACTCACTCAAATCGAAAATAGGAATAAAAACCTTCGTCAACTACTCCTCTTCCTCTCTCTATTCGGAGATCTCGATTAAACCCAGTGATTGATATCCATTGATATCCCCCTGGAAAAGACCGATAATCCTTCAATCATGGAATTTATTGTTAAAAAGGGGGTTTCCCTCCAAACAATAAGAGCCCCGGGTGATAATACCGACGTGGTGCAATGAGGCACGTTTATTGTGCAGCTGCGGTGGTCATACGGGATATTGCGGAGGACAGGTCCTCATTCTCCGTTTAAATTCGTGATGCCACAACAATGAGACATGCCAACTGGAGACCCTGTCCCCCAGATCCCCATTGCATTCGATTATTGCATCGCTCGGTCAGGAGCCGCAAAGGCCTCTCTGGAATGACTGGACTCTGATTAAATCACCGGGTCTATGAATTTTCAAACATTTCCCGCTGTCAATGGAAAAAATCCCAGGGATATACCTCGGTCGGTAAATAATGCACAATCGTCAGACGGTAACCCTGGTTATTGACAATTTTTGTTGGGTAATCGATAGAATAGACAACTATCGATTCGACAATTGTCGTATGTCAACGAAACCGGGAAATTTGAATTCGCGGGGTGATTTTACTGGGATGAATATGGAAATGGTGGTGGATGGATTGAGAGGAAAAGAATGAGGAGTGAAAAATTCCCAGCGTACTTCACGGCTGAGATTTAACCTCGCGTACTCAGGTATTAAAATATCGGGTTGTCGCCTCTTCTCGCGGGAGAGTGCATTCGAAAATTCCTCGTTGTACCTCATAGGAGACAAACAAGAACGTGAATGCTGGAAAGAGGTATGGGATGGGCTTGGGGTTGGGTTTGGGGATGAGAAGGAGGAGTGGAGTGAATTGAAGAGGATGGGAGGGAGGGTTGGCGGATGGCGAAGGAAGACTGGGTGGAATTGTGGGAGGACTTCACCTGGAATATACCGTCAGGATCGTGGGGGACACATTCCCATCGAATTCTTTACCCCGGTGGAATTTCATCCCCTTCTCGGTAACTCGGAGAAAAGGAGAAGATATTATTATTTGGGTATTACTTCATGGATGATATGGTAATACAGTTGGAAAACGTTTCACTCTCTTCATTGCGCTGTGTTTGAATTTACGTCAGACTTGGTCTCGTTACTACATTCAAGCTCAATTCCGCATATCTCGACATTGTTGTTCGTACTTGAGGGTTTTTATTATTTCGTTTTTCGCAAACATCGCTCTCATTCATTCTCGTTCTTAACGGATCTACGGCTTTGAGCAGTCGAAAATTCTTTAGGGGACCCGACGGAGCGGTGACATTTAGGAAAATCTTGGGAATGCAGTTCAAGTTGTTGGACATTTCTGGTGAGATACTTATTTTTTTTCGTCTTGCACTTTTTTCTTCTAATTTCAGTTTTCAGCTTTGAAAAGTTGGATGGGTTTTCAAATGGACGTTAAAATTCACAGCTTATTACGATTTCTTCTAATTAGTTGCCTCCAAGTGACTGCTTTCAAAATTGACAGAATGTTCGAACAATTAATACTTGAAACTAGCGGATCTAGATGTGAACATTGAGATATCAAGCAAGCGCCAAAATTAGACCATGAATTTTCTTGGAATGTGGAGACTGTCATCACCCAGCGCAATCCTCTCATAATCGACGTTGACAATTCAAGATTGGTATGACATGCGTGTTTGAAGCTGCTATTACTTCTGAACATTCAATCAATTCCAGAACATTCGTTGAAAAATTCAAGGTCCTGCACGCATTACCACAACCCCAGGTCCAGGATTTCTATTCGTCTGGTTTTTTTTTTATTTGAATTCGTCTGGTTTTCTCAAATTTTATAAATCTATATTGGTCATAAATAAGGCAGAATATTAAATATATAGGGAGTACTTCAGTAAGAGAATGCCATTATCCTTGATTTACACTTTATTATACAATGGTACAATTGTACAAGCGTAATCAAACATACCGAATGTCATTTAAAAGTAATGTGTGTTTTAAATTCTCCAATACTCTCAAAATCGCCCTATTTAATACAGAGCAATACCTAGATGCATATAAATTGGCTGTAAAGAATTAAAAACTAATAGAGATATCATTAACTAAAATCATTCGGTCTTTCCATTTCAAGGCGCTCGTGCCGCTGATTATCAGCTAATAATATCCATCAATCCATTCGAAAATCGTCTCATGCCACCATGACAATGATCCACTAATAAGAATATTAATGAAGAAAATGGTCTATTGACGTTCATAAAAAAATCGAGATGCAATTCTCGAATGAAATTCTCAATTTCAAAGAAGGGATATGACACAAAAATAAATCGACGACGGATAATCGCAAAATTCGTTCTGTTCTTATTGAATTAATCATTGTCCTTCTTAGGAAGCCAAGCTCATCGGATTATACGTCTATAAACGTACTACTCTTGGAAACCTTTATCCAGCGCAAAATTAATTATCGAAGACTTTGAATTGCCCATTTTTTGATGGCCCACCACAACTGGACAGTTCCCACTATTTTCGATTTATTTTGACAGATATGTTTATCACCATTCAGACGACACTCCCATCAAATAACTTCCCAAACACATCCTCAAAATTCAATTCATCCAAACGAACCCAAAATCCACTCACACAATCCCTCCCTTTCTCCTCTCGTTCTCTATTATTTGTAAAGTGGGTGTTGGGACACGGATAAATAGTTATAAATTATTAAAAGTAAAACGAAAATAATTTGAGCGTTAAAAGGAAGATCTTAAAGAAAGAAATGGGAACACATGGGATAGAACTTGGATGTGGCAATAATCGACAGTAGTTTGCCTTTTACATTCTAAAATACAACCTTCAGAATAACTGTCACACTGAGCCAATTGATAACGACTAGATGTGTAACACATTCACCACTTGGCACGGAGTAACACGTCTGTTATCAATAGTTGATCCTTTTAGTTAGTGAACGTCTGGCACTGTCATCACTCTCATTCACCCCATTATGGAATTATAACTTTGACACGTTCGTAGAATCCTCAATATCACCATAATATGTATGAAGAATTATCCAAACAGTGAGAAATAAATAAAGAACTATTTTACAATTTATGATTTCCAGGAAACTTCACGTTCGCATCCATAATTTTTTTTTTTAAAGAATCTCTACACAAATCTTCAGTCGTAGCCCGTAACTTTCTCACTAGTTCCACGCCAATCCAAACTCAGTTAAAATTAATTATATCTCTAAATTTTTCGATCTGAATATATTATATCTCTCTACTGGAGGATAGTTGAATTCCGAAGATTTTTATAGAGTATTTTCAGTGAGACGTACGAATCCTCGAAGATGACACTTGTCGAAAAATCGAATCCTCGTGTCTCGATTATCTTATCTACAAATTCCTAAAAACGAAAAATACAATATGTTCTTTTGACGCGTGAGCACGAATTTGAGTTGTAAGAACACCTGTTCATCAACGAAAAATGCATTACATAATTCAATGAACAATTTTATCCCCTAACTATCGATTTCTAAAATTCATTTATCAGTATATCCGAGGGATATCAACAACAGATAAATTTACAATTGTGTTATTTCAAGGAGCTGCGGATAAAAATTGGACTAGACTGTATAAGTAAATCGACTAGACTTCCTCAACTCACACCTACACACTTCCCAAAAAAAAATCGACAATTTACAGATCCCGACTGCAGTGGAACACTCCAGTGCAGTCACTCTCGACTCTCGTCCACTCCGTTGAATACCTATTAATCTAGAGGATTACAATAACGCAAGGCCTTATCACGTGAAGTCATCTGACAAGTGCCCAGTGCCACTGATTCAATTTCCATTAAACTCGTTTAAATCTCTTTGTTACACTCGAAAGATTGACTGCTGCAATTATTGGCAATAGGCACTTTGAAGATGATGATAAACAACGCCAAGTTTGTTCAATTGTTTAATCAATTTTCACCGCAGGCATTCCATAACCCACGACCAGTCGTTCCTTTGGAAAATCGAGAATGACTGTTGCATGGAATCCCATGTTTGCTGAGGCTATTATGTACTCGCATAACGAGAACCAGCTGAATGCTACACGCGAAGGGAATAAAAATGATTTTTCATCTTTGTCAACGGCATGTGAGCAATAAATTAATTATTCAAAGATAATGAAAGATTTTTTTCTTTGTAGTTATTGAATGTATCAATGAGATAAATTCTTTAACGATTTCTACAGAAACCTCAATATGTCAATCGTCTACGAATATTTTTCAACTTTATGATGAAATGAAAATGAACTCACCCAAATCATGACACAGTAATCGATGCTTAAGGAAGAAAACAATGAGTCCAACAGTACTGACAAGACTGGTGACAAATAACTTCTCTTTATAATGTAGACTTTGTGCTGTTGGTGTCACCAAGCGTCCCAATTTGACAGCAGCCAGCATGTACATTAGTGAGCTCACCATGAAAATGATAAAGATTTTCTCATGGGCATCTGCAACCAAACAAACGTATCAGAAACACTTGTTGAATTCAATAACTATCCACAAATGACATTACGACTCATTAAACGACCTTCATTGTCTCTAGATTAAAATTTTCTTCTAGAAAATTTAATGACTCACAGTAATTCTCGCGGTTGGAGATGTATGTTACACCACAGAGGGACGCTATTTCAGCGATGTTGAGCCAGAAGCAGAGATTCAGGAGTCTGCATCCAAGTACTTTTGTTGGCAAATGTTCAAGTGCTGTGAGAATTTTACGGTAAAACGAGTGATAGACGATTGCGATTACGAGTCGGGGTCCGATATGGAGGGCTATGCTGACTCGCCAGAGGTACCTCTGGGGCGAGACTCCAGTTATCGCTGATATTGAGGGAAGCACGTTGTAAACCTGAAAATGTCAGATTATTTTTGGGTGGGCCCCTGGAGAATACACTGGGTTTGCCAGATGCACGGTAAAAGTTACTCTCGCTCAGCTAATTAATTTTTAAAAAATCAATTATTTGACCTATTTTCCCTTGTTTATTAATTTTTATTGAAGCTCGGTTTTGTAAATAATAAGTATTGGGATGAAATTGATTCCGATAACTTATAAAGCTATGAAGATTAAATGAAAACTACAATAAGGTTTCAACGAAAAGAAATTAGCGGATGTACTTGAATGACCCTCTCAAGTTTGTTACAAACTCATCCATATATAGCAATTGAGTCTATAATTTGTATGATAAGGCAGTATGAACTCCCCTTAATTTCTCAGGCTTGTTATTTCCCTTCGCAAATGCGAAGACACTTAGTCATTACACTCAAATGCCACTTAGCGCCCTGAGCACCCAATAAAAAAAAAATTAACCAGATGTTATCACACGACTCTACTCACTCGGCAATGCGTCTCATGTATATCATCCTGTTGAAAAATATATGCAGTAACGAAACAGATTAACAACGTGACGAGTGGTAAACAGGCGGTGGCGATGCACAGTTTTCTGAATGATACAGCAAGATGCACTGAGCTCTTGTCATTGCCAGCATCACTGAGCTCCATTGTCTCATTCGAGTTTTTATCACTGCCCGACATCATGCAGTATTTATAAACATCTTCTGGATGAACTTAGTCACACGAAAAATATTCATTCACAGGTATTCTAGGGGTGTGACAATCCTTTCATCACGCGCCAGGCACATTTTTAGTTCCCTGAGAATAAACCTGGAATAAAAAAAAAAATCGATGAGACGATAGAACGTCTCTGGACGAGAAACTACTGCTCTATCATTCCACTCTATGATTGACCCCTTGAAATTGTTTTCTCTAATGTGAAAATGGTCCACAAGACATTTATATTCCCTATTATCACAAGGCAACAAACAGGACGGTATTTAATTCGTTATCAGTCCTAGGGGTACGATAAACACCACTTAGCTTCATGACCGTAAAATAAACACCTCAATGTCACAATCTGTAAATAAAACCCTACATTTTCGGCATTGATTTTCTCACAACAACCCACCGCCTTAGCTATTAATAGAAAATAACATCACAGTTTTTTACCAAAACACCGAATCACCACCTAAATTAATATTTCTTACAGGTGATCAAATAACTCAAATACCTCTCGCTCGATCCATTGACCCCGTGAACGAGAACCCTTGACACTCCAGTTTATCACAAAGGAAATGGTACAAAACAACAAATAACTTTGAATTAAAAATAAATAATTGAAGTTTCACTTGAAATGGACGTGCGAATACTGAATATTTTTGTAGTGGGAATGTCCAGCGGATTAACCAGTAATAAAGGCACCAGAATTAATTGATTTTTCTTAATGTTTTAGGGTATGTTGGAACGTACCCTCTCTGCAACCTCCATCTGGGTATCGGCGCGTTGTAGGGTTTTCTCCGGCTATCACTTGGGTCAATCCCGCGCGCAGTGGCGCACATCAGAGAACATAAACCAGGGACCAACTCTCTGCAGTTCTAATATACTATGCAGCTTTTTATTCAACATATCCTCCATGCAGTGAGATCACGTGATTAATTCGCATCGTGTCGACAAAGTAGATTTCTCCAAATAAAAAGTAAATAGAAATCCAAAATTCCACTAGGCAATAACTTTAATAATTCATACTGACAATGAAAGGGACAAATATCTCCGAATCTGAAGTTCCGATCGAAATTCTCGTAAGAACCTTTTTTTTAATTCGAATTTCCCTCCACAAAATTGGTTCTGACGGAAATTTCGCAATCTTTGTGAGATTCAGAGATATTCCACATAATGTCAAGCAGAGAATATTAACGAAATTCAATTTGAAGTTTAATCTTGGGTAATTAAGCCAACACCTTGCCCTTTCGTTTTTAATTATTAATTGTTTAAACGAGTATCTAGTTCATAAAAAAGCCGGGCGCTGCAGTCAGCTGGTGGTGGCGATAAAATTTTGACATCTACCCGACGCATGCGCTCACCTCCCCCCCCACAGAGCGCATGTGCAGACAAAGTTAACATATTCCTAGGCTGCTGGGAGAGGGGCGTAGAAAGGAGGCCATATTGTACAGTTAAATTGAAAGAAAAGCAAAAAACAATTTATTGTATTGCAATCGTGATAGTCTTGTAAAATCACCAATACCTACGGTACTAAAATCGAGTACGTGTTGGAGCACGTTATAAACCGAGTATCCACCGCTATCAATCGCGAACTTCCAAAAAGTCATTCAGTGAAGGAACAAAGTGTTTGTAGACTCCCGAAGAGAGAAGACAGAGACGGAAATATCGAGAGAAAGAGGAGAAAAAAAATCTCAGAGCGGACGTTGGTGTTGGATAAGTTGACAAGACGAGAAAGAGAGGAATAGTCGAGGAAAATAAGGGGAGCGAGATCGACACGGAGTGCCCAAAAACGTTTTCTTTCTAGTTCCCAACACCACAGCCAAACCTTCGCCAACAAATACGCGAATTCGTCGGTTTATCCCCATTAAAAAGTGAAACATCGTTTTTTTTAGTTCGTCATCCGTTGAGAGCTTGTTTTTACCAGTGACAAGAGATGGGCACTCGAGAAGATGAGTACGATTATTTATTTAAAGGTAAATACCGCGTCTTTTTATACAAAAACATCATAACCATCATCATCGGTATTTTTTCATTTTAATCGTCAGTAACGTGGCATTAGTCATCCCATCTTTCCCCACCCGTATTTATCCATCTGTTAATTTTATCGTCAGCCTGTTTTTCTCTTCATTCCCTTCAACTTTACACGCGCATTAAGCCAACGAATCATTGACATTGAAGTCAGCACGTCATGAGAACTGACGTTACGCCACGGATGATGTGCCCCTCTTCAACAAGGCGGGCATGATTTTGCCGTTGTAACCGCTACTTTTGTCTCTTCGTCGTTATATCAAACTATTTATCCGCCTCTCAAATTTCCCCTCTCTCCTCCTCCTCCACCATTGGTTCCACTCGTATCAACTCCGATGACGATGCGTAATTACGAATTCAATGAGAATTTTTCGTACTTATGGAATTTCAAATCATAATTTTCCTTGTGTGCAGATTCAGGCAAAACTGAACGAATTACAAATTTTAGGAACAAAGCCTCATAGAGTGCTCCATTGGGGTGGTATTGTCAATAACTAATTGGATGAAATTATTGCTCCCAGTTTATGCTCATTGACTAATAGGGACTCGCGAGATTGAGGAGTTGAACTTATTTGGGTTCTCTGTACGTTGTACCTAGGTTCACATTGTGCAACCTGTACGAAATGTCATGAGTGTATGGTGATATCATCGTTGTGACACATTCGAGTTTGCTTCCTGCATTATTCCTCCCATTCTCGTCATTTCCATTTTTTGTAATAATATCCCACCGGATGTATCAAATTTTCGATTTATCCTGTTACTCAGATTTGTATTGGGCACTTATTGAATGATTTATGGAATAATTGTGTGGCTGACTTGACAGGAGACCGATGTGAGTTTAGCAATTTTCAGTCAGGGAAAAATTTCAGAATAACCAGGAAATGTGAAAGCACTGGAATTTCATTTTAATTTTATGTTTTGGGATTTCGGAGTCTCTGTTATTAAACTGTCCATGTGAAGTTGCCTTGAATAAACAGGTTAGCGAGACACGTGGTATTTTTCTGCTGTCGATTTTATTAATTTTTAATGAGGAAGAATTAGTGAGAGGATGATTTTCACTGGGTAAATATCTGGAATACTGATTGGGAGCTGTCGTTGGATTCATTCACGTGTGGGAAGATTTTGATTGCCATACAGTGATCCCAGTGGCCTTGTTGGAAGAACCACGGGGCATCCATTGATGTTCATTGATCGATCAATTTGAATATCCAATGCATATAATTTGTCACACTGTGGAAAATATGCTGACCCATGGAACTGGAAATACGATGGGTGTCTTAATACTTACGATTTTGTTCCAGTGGTCCTCATTGGAGACTCTGGCGTAGGTAAGAGTAATCTCCTATCGAGATTCACTCGTAATGAATTCAATTTGGAGTCTAAGTCTACCATTGGTGTGGAGTTTGCAACACGCAGTATACAGGTAGATGAAAAGACAATTAAGGCCCAGATATGGGATACTGCTGGACAAGAACGCTATCGAGCCATTACCTCTGCGTGAGTACTTGTATTCTACGGGGGAAACATTGCCGACACTGAATTTTCATTATTTCCGTTATTCTATACTTGTTTGTGGTATTAATAGGTTTGGTATATATACTGAACATTAATTATGAGTTTTACTAATTCGTTTCAATTTTTTTTCGTTCATCTACGAATAATAATGAATAATCAATATCAAAATATCTAATATTAAAAAGCAATAAAGTAAACTAAATATAGATCGACAATTCGTCAGAAGCTGATAATTTGTGGGTATTGATTATTGATATGGAATTTCGAATAAATGATTGACTTTTTTTTTGTTTTCAATTTAGATATTATCGAGGAGCTGTTGGCGCTCTCTTGGTCTACGACATCGCAAAACACTTGACGTATGAGAATGTGGAGCGATGGCTGAGGGAATTGCGAGATCATGCAGATCAAAATATTGTTATCATGCTTGTCGGCAACAAGTCCGACCTGAGGCATCTACGTGCAGTGCCAACCGACGAGGCCAAAGCATTCGCTGAAAAGAATGGCCTCTCGTTCATTGAGACATCGGCACTTGACTCTACCAACGTTGAGACGGCCTTCCAAAATATATTGACCGGTGAGTCATAGATTTCAATGACCAATTGGCAATTCGGCGACCTGTAATTAAAATGGCTTAACCATTATTTTTTTCTTCAGAAATTTACAGAATCGTGTCGCAGAAACAGATTAGGGACCCACCGGAGGGTGATACAATCAGGGCACAAAATGTTGAACCCATCGATGTTAAACCAACAATGAGCTCCGATGGAATGCGCAAGCAATGCTGCCAGTGACTCGCCGCACTGCTTACCACGTAAGTGTCAAACATGTCACTCTAATTTCTTTTCAATATTTTCGCCTCGAAAAACGCACAGCCTCTACTCCTTTCTTCATTCGTATCTTTAGTTACGTATTCAGTTAAACCTAATCCGCACCTCCCCTAATCGATATTCTTTTCCTCAAACAGAAGCAGTAAAATGGGGGGAGATTGCAAGAAAGTGATGGCTGGTGATAGATACTGCAGGTGCGTAACAGTACGAGAACTAAGACTATGTGTGCGGGCCTGTACTCTCGTATACTAGAAGGATTGAGTTTTATTTTTGTTTAATTAATTAATTTTTCTTCGCCTGAATTTAAACAACCGGGGGATGGCTGCGGACTTGTCGATAAAATGAGAAACAGGAAATAAATGAAAGAGCCGAAACGAAGTAGAATCATTAAATTCACGGACACATCTCCAAAGCTCATGCAAACCGAACTAATGCATCCATGATCTTGAGAAATCTGAATGAAACGATCCCAGATCAGTTGTTAATGCGTACTCTCACCCAGTGTCCATAGATATATTGATGATTAAAAAATGTTTTTAATACCCTCGCATTCTCCCCAACTCTCAACACGATGTATATGATTATGTATGCGGGCAATTAAATCATGTATACATACTCCATATACACGGACTCACACACATAGACCACATGCAAGCGTACACGACAACATAAACGATTGAGGGAAAAAAATTTGAAAAAAAAAACAACACAGAAAATACACAAACACATAAATATATTACGTTATGGTAATTAAATGTTGTATTACCGCTTCTTTGTAATACATATACAATTATTCTTCTCTACGCATAGTGTGACCGTGACTTATATAAGCGAATTTGTAATAATATATTTACGGAATTAAACAAATTGGAATAAATGAAAATGGGGGGCTGACAGAAAGTGCATGAAGTAAAAAAGGAATAGTGGATGAGGATAAAACTAAAATACAAGGAAATAATTGAACTAATAAATGTGTACATTGCAGAAAATCATAGAAAACAAACAGAGGGGTTCGAGATATGGTAAATTTCATTGTTTTAATAAACTCTGATTAACAACAAGAAGAAACCCGACCGTGTTGCTCATTGTCCGTCGCGCTCTCACGTAGTTTGTTTTAAAAAAAATTGAAAAATTACAAAAAAAACATTGAAGATAATTCGTATATGTTATAGGCACCATGCTATCGTGCTTTTGAATCACATTGTTTTTATTACGAGAGGCTTTTCTTGTCAAGAGCTGTGCGAAGGCGTCACGAGTATGAAAAATTAATAATAAATGATAAATGATGAAAAATTAAATATATTGATAGTTCTTTAACAATTTATCCTTGACGGAAAGATAAACCAGTCGCCACAGGAGATATTATTTTCATTACGAAATTATTTTCACGTGTATTAATAAATTTGGATGAGTGAAGGATAAAATTTATGATTAATTAATGTTAAGAAATTGAAATTAACAGCTGGGCATCGACAGTCTTTGAGGAAATTGTGAATGAATTATTTTGCTTGCGAACACTGCGCGAGAGATTACATTGTGAAAACCCATAACAATAATAACGCTTGCGGAAACCAAAACCACACAGAGTGTTATGAAAAAAAAAATCGAATTGAGAGAGAACACCACATTATGCGTAATTCTCTAACTTGTATCCATCATTATCACTTCTTTATAGTCTTCGAGGATGAAATATTTTTTTTTCTGTAATACGTATCGTAGAGTAGATGGAGGAGACTGTGGCTGAAAGGAAGAAAGATATTGAACATTTCTTTTTTTTATTTTATTTCTAAAAACGATACACTAAAGAACGAAAAAAATATAAATTAAAGAATTATACAAATTTCAGGTTCTATTTCACTAACTCCCTCCTGTCCCGAAAATTAGTAGTAGATCTTCGGCATTTGAGTCGAGTCTTAATTTCCAGGTCTTTATCGGAAATTATGAATAATTAGGGGAATATTTTTTTGGAAAATGCCGGTTCTTATAATTTTGTTACTTTATCCATTACTTTTACGAATGAAATCGAATATAAATAAAAATTTGAATTGAATATTTAATTGAACTGAAAAATTTCACTCTGCCTAAAATTCTGGTCTCATAGAAAAATCACCTCCTGAATCACACATTTCAAAAATCGAGTCCCATTTTATTGTCATTTCTTGTAATCACATGGAAGAAGTATCGGAAAAACAAGAGCATAAACTGATTCTCTCGATTTTACATGTACGAATGCCACCGTACCAACAAAACACCAAGAGATCATACAATGTCACTCAATCGATTGCTCGTTCTCATATAAAAATATTTCAGGATTGTTTATTAAGCAGCACGACATAGCACGAGACAGTGTTCGGATTGTGCTTGGAAGCAGCTGAGGTTCCCATATCAGTGGGAGTATCCCCGAGCTAAGAGGTCGTGTAGGCCGAAGCTGGTTCAAGTCGTACTGTATTCTTCTGAACTCCCCCCTGCGGATACTGACGCCTCCACTCTAGCCATTTAGTCAACTCCGGATTACTACTTGGATCATTAGCATCGGCACGAGCCTCCAGTTGCTGATAATACGCCTCCCGCAGTAATCTGAACGTCTGAACATTTCTGTAAGGTAAATTCGTGATAGGATCGATGTACTTGGCTGGAAGTCTCGTGATGGCACACAGGGACTTGAGAGTGGGTCTGGGCTGGGGTTTCATCTTGAACGCCTTCTGGAAGAGTTTCTCAGTCTCGAAGGTTATGAAAGTCCTCTCGTAACGCTCACCAGTCTGTTCGGCCTCGATCTCTGGGTCTATGACCTCCTTCGTCTTTGTCTCCAACGAATGCGTCTCATCCAATGACTCATTCGTCTCTTTGTCCGTTTCCTCTGATTTTTTCGACTCCGCTTGTGACAATTTCTCAGGGTCATCGGTGTTGCAATCAGATTCACTCGGTTTTCCCTCATCTCCATCACTCTTCCCTTTCTCCTTCTCAGCTGGATTCTTCAGCACCATGACAGGCATCGCCAAGGACTGATACCGAATTATGGAATGGGAGTGGGCTTTCCTCACAGTCCTCGTGTTCTTCTTCTCACTCTCCAGCTTCTGGTACTTCTCCAAAGACTTCAGGTTAATTTTTTCAGTTTCCAGAGCCTCCTCGAGGAGCTCCTCCTGCGTGGGCTTCCAATCATCATGACGTCGCACTTTGACTTTTCTCCTCTGATCTTCATTCCTCTCTCGTAGTCTCTTGGCTGTTGCAGCTGACTTGGAAGCTGTTGATCTTCGCAGGGATTTCCTCTCTCTACTGTCATTGAGAAACCTTTTGTCTCGGGGGGCTCTTGGCTTCTTCTCTTTGGGTGCTGACTGTGTCTGTGCTGCTGGTTTTGGCTCTTTGTACGCCTTTGTCACCAGTCGCCGTTTCTTCTTGGGTCCCTCCTGTTCCTGATCCGAAACTGGCTCGTCATTCTCGTCTATACTGAAGTCGGAATCCACTTCATCTTCTCCTTCGTCCTCCATCCTAAATATAAATCGTGACGTGATGATAATTGGGGGGGAAGTAGCTTGAGTACATAAAGGCACTTGATTCATTCATGATCATCGATTTCCTTTATGATCAATGGCCTACAATGAAGCTGGGAATACGCAGAAAATTCCTCCATATTCATTCGTAAACATATATAATCGTAAATTATAAATAATTAAAAAATACAAACAACAAATGACAAAAGAAGGGTAATAAAACTTACATGTAATCATTATCCTGCTCCACCTCCTCGAATCCACCATACGTAGTTTTATAAAATTCATCCTCCTCCTCCTCATTCAATAATTTTGCCATTTTATTGCCGGCATTGGCACGTCTTTCCCTCTGCGAAGCCATTGTTCTCAATTTATTATTAACAACACACTCCCCTTTAAAGCCACTCAAACTTCAGAGGTGATCTTGCCAATTCAATTTATTAAGAAAATCCGAAGATCAATTGTCTCTCGATAATTTAATAATCTCAACTATAAAATCCGAGACTCGTTCCCTTGTTCAATCTAAACCCCTCAATTTTGACTTTATCCATCAACAATGAGTACTCCAGTCTCCCCCCAACCCCCCCGAACACCCAAAAATCCGTAAAATGAGTTCACCGGAGTCTCACCACCTCGTGTGAATAAATAATCCCCTTTGTCCTTTCCAAGTTGAATGAACCATTTCCCCTCACAAAGCAAATTCCCATAAACAAAAACACAACTGTCTTCGACTTTTGCTGTACCCAGAACTAGAGACAACCTGGAGATTCCCTTCTCCGTCCCATCCTCTCCCACATCGTGTTGTTCTCCGAATTCACAAGATGGCGACATGTCATCCCCATGAGAACTCTCTCAAAAAATGGAGAGCCAAGTGATCCAATTGGCCGATCCTCCAATCGACAAACCAATAAGCTGACTGGAATGAAACGAAGAGACAGGTGTTCCCTCTGGCTAGGCCATATCGCATGGACAATTGGACTTCGGTCCTTCTCGGCAATGCCCGTTGCTATTTCGTTGAAGCTGACCAAAAGCCCATTGGTACAAGTGGAGGGGTGAATAAGGAATAGGTACTAGCCAGCGAGCTCTAACTTTACACCAGTCATCACCAGTATTTGTCCCTCCGCCCGTACGTTTTGGTGATTCTAAATTTCTTATTTTTCTCCAACACCACAAACGACAAAACGGCGTACTGGGTGTGAACGCTCAAACAATAACGAACATACTTATTTACTTTTCTTTTGTTCATTAGTTATGATTTACGAGGGCATTAAAAATCAACTGTACAAGTGAAAATACGAGTTTCAACGGTTGGACAGAGCACACCAGGAAAGAAGAGAAAACAAAAGTAAGAGGAAAAAGAACATCAAAAAGTGCCTCGTGAATAGTGTGAAAGGGCATTGATCACTTATTAATTTTTTTTTTAACTAAAACCGTGTCGCTGTTATAAATATCCATTGTTCAAACTGAGGATTTTAATAATTGACGTGATATCGATAAAACAAAGCCAAGTTTTTTACAGTGAATTATGTGGAATACTGAAGCGAGATTACGAACGGCCACACGTCTAGTCAGCTGACATATTGCGCCCTGCTACACCACAGCAGCCTTCGGTGAGTGTGTCGCAATAAATTCAAAAGTGAGCTTTCTCAGTTCCTCCCAACACGGTGGACCTATTTTTACCAAATAAAATCCCACATCCCACTGGTGTACCTCCCTTACCACCCCACTCTCCCCTTGTCCAAACTAGACCAAATGCCAGAGTGATTTTGACGTGCCCAGAGGTCTCAATTCACTTATTTCGTATTAAATTCATAATATCCGTTTCACATTTATTGTTCTTGCGTCCTCGGACTCGGCGTAATCGTGGCCATGGGTGTGTGATACAATCGTACGTAGAGATTACGAGTAGAGTGCCACTGGCTCTCTTCACCTTCGACAAAGAAGCCACGCCACCGTTAAATCTCTGGTATACCCTGGAATAGTTTAAATCAGAAAAAAATCATTATTTATTCTTCCAGAAGTTGCATTGCCCCCCTACCCACTCGAGCTCTATTTCCTCATCAACTTATTTCTTTTTGATTGTCGAATGCGTATGGACGACGCCAGCGCCGATACGATTATATAGCAGCGTGAGGTGTACACTTGCACGCTCACGCTTTCGCCCCCCCCTCGTCTTTCACATACTTTCATCTCACTCTTACATTTCATTCGTATTTTTTTCTCTCTCATTTTTATTCTCTCTCTTCTCCCTCTTCTCACTGCCTAAGCCCTCAAGGCCCCTGCGGTAGAGTCTGTTCTCCTCACCCTCGTCTCCACCAAAAAACCTCGACAATACCTCCGTCTACTTCCATCGCTCCCATCGCTTCCAACGCTTCCAACACACCTCCTGCCAAGTCCAATCCAAAACTCACAAGGGACCAGACCAGAGGGGGGGTAAAATATGTTTACCGAATTTCAATTGCCGAATAGCGCACCCCAGGACTATCGTTATTTTCTCGCACATTTTTTAGAATGAATTTTATATTTTTCTCGGGTTGAGCTGTTATGAATCGAACACACGAGATATGATAAGGAAGGGGTCAAAAGCTTAGGCGCATTTGACTCAGTACTGCGTCTTGAAACGTCTTACTTTCCACTTTTACGGTCGCGTGGGTTTCTACTTGTTCTCCAATACATTGAGGTTTTGTATTAAATCTTTATTATCACACTCCCTCGCTTTTTCTCACCGCTTCCCTCCCACTCGTTCTCACGGTGGATTTTTATTTCTCTCTCCCTCCACTGGTGATTTTTATCTCGATGGCTTGCCTCGGTATTGTTTTGCGAGACTTCTCTCTGATTTCAAATGAATTTTGATTTTGCCGTTGCGTCAGACAGCGCAAGAGGCCAGGAGGAATCAGCTGACTGTCATGTTTCAAAATTCCAGTGATTCCTAGGATTTTTTTCCCAATTTTTGTCCTCTTACACGTCGGGATTCATTTGTCAGTGGATAGTAGACTGATGACACCATAAGTTTTTACTTCTCTGGGTGCCCCCACTCCACGTAGTTACCACTTGTAACCATGTCCCCCACTCCTAAAATCAATGTTAAACCTTATGCTGACTTCAGTATATTTACTTTTGTCCTAGAATGACAGTTGCGGAGTTGAGACCTAGTATGTGATAAGTAATCGGGAAGTTGGTGTGCGTCATCGTGTCACTTGGTTTCTGGTTGTGAGTCAATTCTACGGTGAGCACGTTGATTCTTCGAGTGAGTGACGTCACACTGACGCGTCATTATTTTTACGAATGAATGGTGATAAATTGAAAAATCAAGAAATCTTTTATTCGGATTAGACGTCGTCTTGGTGCCTCGACACTCGGACACGTGTCCCACTAGACTTTCTGATTTGTTTTCCTCTGGTATCCAGTGTTCCTCCCTCTGCAGGCTATTCTCGGCCAAAGTACTGGCTGCAACGTGACCCAGGAAGAATGTATATTGTCCTCGGCAAGGACGCGAGACATTTGTTTCACCGGGAAAAACAGTCACGTGTCATTTAGGCTTTCATTCCTCGTGGAATCATTCTGAGGAAGTGACAGTTCGTACAGCATGTGGTGCCTATTTTTTTTATGTCACGAGATGGCAGGGGTTCAGATTCTTGGCGTCCTTATTTCAATTATCTTTCTCTGAATTGAGGGGTTATTTTTACCCAGGATTTGACTCATCAGATGGATCTTGAGAAATTAATTCTTGGGTTTGAGCTATCTATTGTTCTAGTTGGAGATAAATTCATGCGACGAATTGACACTTTTGATTTCATTTCTTGTGTTGAATTTATGAGATAGGGGAAATTGACAGGACAATGTGTGTTGAGGAGATCAGAGCAATCCCATATGTTTGACATCTCTTAACGATACGTTCGGAAAATCTCGGAGTTGAGCTGAAAATGAATCGTGTCAAGTAAACAATGGCCTTGACTTTATCGTCGGGTCATTATTCGGGCTAGCTGTGTCCTTCGTTCTCCACTCGAATACATTAAGTACACATCAACGTATCACGAAGAGTTTAGAGCCTATCGTCCTTCGTGCAACCTTTGCCACACAAACAAACGCATTTAAAAAACTCCACTACCAACGAATATAGCGCGAGCTCCATTCGCGCACTAACTTGCGTCAAACAGATTTTCTCAATCTTTATTTCAAACCGCACACCACATTAAACATACGTACAAACTCGTGCAACTCGAGGACACACTTGTCAAATCTATTCTATTGAGTGCCGTGATCGTCCGATTAAAAAAGCCTTGGACACCAACCAACTCCCATGAATTACTTTGTTTCCGCATATTGATTCGCAGCTGATTATTTCTTGGCACAACGCATCCAATAGCTATGGAAAAAACCAGCGGCTATTGACACCTATCGAATCCTATCAGAGGAGCAAAAAAAATCACTTTATGACAAGTGCGAGACAGATCGCCACCCCTCGTCTAAAGACATTGTCAAATTATTTATATTTACCGAATATGTACTCGTTCGGTGGTCACTGTTCGCCGCAGATGTTTGACGTTTGAACCTTGGCGACAGGTCAAGCCCACCCGAACGTTCGTCACTCGGGTTACGAGGGGCTAAAAGGTGGGACACAGGTGAATTACCACGACACCCTTGCTCCAGAATGCCATAGCCCTGAAACCTAAAATCATCTCTTCATGACGTCAGTCTGCAGATTATTCTTTCAAGGCAATTAACGCTCAACTCCATTAATATCCACCCGTATCAGTGACGCAGATGTCGTCTAATACACTGCAAGAATAGAGGGGTAGAATTAACCGGTTTCAACCATCAGTTGTTCGCGATCAGTACGTAATATTATTTATAAAGATTCACTTTGATTCCTTCAGAGATCTTCACGATTTTTTCTTTTTCCGGCGTTCTACTCGTGAATTGGTGAGAATAAATATTTTCTCAAGTTATTTCATAAAATTTCAATAACCACAAAATACTCACACTCACATTTTTATCATCCATAAGTTTTCCTGAAATTTCAAGAAATTCCCTCGTCGAAAAATCTTTTTACATTCCAAGCTTAATTACAAACTAGAAAAGGCATAATCCAGGAGGTGTCAGCCATCCCCTAATTATCGTAGGGACTCCTGAAGACATGTGACAGCGCACAATGCGCATTGCGCATGGTATTTAAGTGGTATTTGAATACTCCCTGGCGCCATCTCACTCCTTCTATTCTCCATCCTCTCTCCTCCGTAAATTAATTTACCTCTCACTCCCCTCCACCTGCTATTCCCACCACGCTTTTCCCTGCGCTACAATTCTGCGCAGATCCGCCTGCTTTCTTATCATCAAAAAGCCAAAATTCTTCAGAGAAAAATTCAAGGCAGATGCATGTAGTCCTGGAGTCCTGAAAAAAAAAACCCCCAAAAATTCCACCGTTCCCCCATTTTCCGTCATTTAAATGACTCCCCCCTCTGGGGTTCATGACCCCGAAAAATCTAACGGGTCTTCCTGAATCAGCCGATTGTAAACTCCACCAGAAGTTGTCGCTGTACTTGCGTATGATGCCTTAGCCCCGATGGTGTTGGCGCACGGGTAGTTTTGGTATCGCCATCATGAAAACATTCGTCCGCCGTCGTCGTTATCGTTGCTCTCCTCCGTCCTTGCCTTTTTGCCTCAAATAACCACGGGCTCACCGTACCCCATCGTCAAACTCAAAATATCGAACGTCGTGACAACGACGACGGCACCACCGAGTCACTCGTTTCAGCTCTCAATTTTTTAAACGTTAAAATCAAGACCAAACCCAAAAGGGGGTGGGGAAAGGGGGGAGGGGGGCAAAATTACTTTTTTTTTCAGTGTAACACAATAGACTCGAGTGGTTTAGAGCGTTTTCAATTGAAATAGTGTATGTGTGACTTTGACGGAGTGAAGTGAGTCGCTCTCACGGGTGATATTAATGTGTACGTGTGTATCGTGGTGACGAGAGGATACGAGTCGCGGGGAAATCCTCAGCGCTGTTCACTAAATACATACGTGAATAAAACGAGAACAAATAGTGTGTGAGAGAGAGAGAGAGAAGGATTGAGCTTTGACGTAGCTGAAGGGACAGCAGGGCTGTGATAAAACGGAATCTGTGCAATTCTCCCTATCCCCTTTCCCCTGGCCCATTAACAACCAAGTGTGTGTGAGAGAGTGAGGGTTTTTCAATGTGTACTGGTGTGTTCCCTCTGCGATACGGACACAGGAGCCCACTTAAATGCCTGAGAGACACTCTTACTCCATGTTGTGCATCGGTTGCAACACGATTGCGTGCTGGAAAGTGAGTGATATCGCCCAGTGAGGCTCGTTTTTTTTTTCTCTTTTTTTTCTCATCATCTGGAGCTTTATAATGCCTGTGTATCTGTCAACTACAACCCCCTCCGCCCCTCGCCCCCTTTGCCCCATCGCCCCACCGCCTCCTTTCCACCCTCTCCCGCCACCGCTGATTTTTCTCCTTTCCCGCCCCCACAGTAGCCACCCCCTTATCACCCTTTATCCACTGCCACCCCTGCGTCATCTCCACTGCTGTGAAAAACCACCCCTTCCCATGATGGGCATTGTCTCCTGCCAAGGGAGGTCAGAAATTTATGTAGATAAGCCCACGCAGGCTCTCCCTCCTCCACCATGAGCTCTGGTGAAGGGACATTTCAATGTATTTTATGAGTTTTTACTTGAGAAAGGCCGAGGGCTCCTCGTCGTTTGTCAACACATCTGATGTCCTTAGCATCTGTTCATTCCCCTGATTTTCAGTTCCAAGCAACTGATTGGGGGATTTTTTTTTTTGGGGGGGGGGGGGTTTCTGTTGGGAGATTTGGGGGTGGCGATTTTTTTGGGAGTTTGGGAGGGGTTGGGATGGTAGAGTGGGGGGGGGGGGAGAAACGGGGAAAGATAATTCAGCGACAGGAGATAGTTGTTATCTGGTTCTGTGGACAAGTGACCGTATCACATGGAGAGTTTGTGTTATTGGGGTCAAACCCGGGAGCAATCCAGAATACCTGGAATTTGGTTTGTTAGAGATATTGGCAATGAGGGGCGATAGAGCCTTTTCAACGCGAAGACTGAAAGGATTTTGGAGTTAATCCTCCACACCCCTTTCTTACCTGATCCTTATTAACGCAAAAGTTAAGTTTTCGAGTTAATCCTTAATACTGATTTCTTACCTGACTCTGACCCTGGAGACGACACCCTGGCGGAACCTCCCACTATTTCCGGATTTGAGAAAAGGGGGAAATTATTGTTGTTTCCAGGCTTCACCTGTAGGGTCTCCATTCATGTTTGGGGAGTTATTTAAATTTCGGTCAGTTGTCGGTCTCCTCTTGAGGTAATAACACGTGGAATTGTCTCTCCGCAAAATATTTTTGCCAAATAGTAGAACGTGGGGTTTATTAAATTTCACCGGATAGGTGGTGATTTATAGTGCAAGAAGCTGAGAAAATTTGGCGTCGTCCAGCCTTCAGGGGTTGATAGAGTTTTTCATTAGTCGTGAAGTCATTAAGCGCAGGTAAAAGATTTCGTATATTCGTAATTAATAACGCAAGCGTCACCCAACTTTTATTGGATTTTTATCAGATGAAACTTGGACTTTACACTTTTAGTTTACAATTTCATTGATTGAGGCCGAGGAAATGTGGAAATGTTTTTTTTTTCGCCAAAACCCAATATAATCCCTCATAATTGTCTAACCAATGAATTTTCCTTCCTCTTCCCCACCAGATTACAGAACTCTACTCGTCGTTTCTAAAATATAGAAGATTCGAATGAATAATTTCACTCGTTTATTCCGAGATTAGTGGCTTTTTTAATGATGAATTAAATCGCTCGACTGGATGAACACTCAATGATTTCACTTAATCCATCCCAGATTGAATACGTGAATTCCATCGAAGAGTTAAAAATCAATCGAATATTGTAAATTTTCAGATAAACCCGTGGTGACAGCCAGTCGTGGTGGTAGGATTGGCAGAAGGGCCAGGACAAGCCTTAACAAACTACCGTGAATCGAGTTGACTGCGACTTGCCACTGTTTTTTTTTCCTCTGGAGACAGTGTTTTATCTAGAATATTTCGCATAAACAAGCGAAGAATATAAAGTTGAAGCTTTTTAAAGGATTAAAAAGACTCGATTAGCAAGATATTAAGGGTAGAAGGGACAGAATAAATATGGAGCGCGAGTCAAACCCTATGCAAGCCCTGTGCCGCAGTGGCTGTGGATTCTATGGCTCACCGGCCACCGATGGCCTCTGCTCTCTCTGTTACAAGGAGAATCTTAAGAAGAAACAACAACCCCCTGTATCGGCTGCTACTGTATCAGCCTCACAGACCGTCTCTGGTAACGCTGGTACGTTGCAAAGCGGTTTCAGCAGTCCAGCATCAACGGGTACTGCTCAGCCTACCATTCCCACCATACCACAACCAACGACAGATCTACCGAGTCCCAAAGAGGTGAGTTTTATTTTTCTTCACATTGTTTTACGTTTTTTCTGCAATTTTTTTTTTATCAAGAACTATTTCTGCTGTGAACTCGTAAAACGAGGTCACTTAACTTAGCTCTTCGGTTGAATTTTCAGAAATACCTCTGAAACTAAGGGAGGTAGCGGAATTTTTGTCAGGAACTTTTTCAAACTCTCCATTAGACCTATAAAAAATATTCCGATGAGTATTTCGATATCTCCCTTACTTTCAGAGATATTTCGGAAAATATCACCGGATAGATGAGTTAACGTATCTTGTCTTGCCATTACTGCAGATGTATTTTCACTATTACTATAAATTTCAATAGTAAAGAGCTATGAAGTTTTTTTAAAGATTCCTGATCAGAACACAGAAATAGAGAATTTCACAGAAGTACTGAGTATTTAAAATAAACTCTTCAATGAAACAGAAAAATAGCGTGAGGTTTTGAATATTCAAGAATGGGAAATTCCTTCGCCCATCGGAATCATCAATATTCAATTCTACTCATAAACTTAACAGTCGTCAAGCTTAAGTTCAAAGATTAAAATCATATTTTCTAAACAATTGTATTCAGTGATATAAATCTATTGAGGATTTAGGCTTGAGTGATATTTAAGGGATTTTTCATTGAATGTCTCGGTGAGATTTCTTTATCAGAGAACTGGTGAGAAGTGAAAAATTAGTAGAAAGGCAGTCTATGCACCAGATAACAGAGAGAGGTGCAATAAATTTTAATGCACACGGTGTTGAATGACATTTTTAACGACTGCGATGACGAAATGTCGTCAAAAGTTTCATTTCTCAACTAGCACATTTATGTTGTACGAAAATTCCGATCATTAAGAGAATTGATGCATTGTTCAATACTCCTTTAACGAGTAGTACAACATCAATTTCTAATTCCACGTGAAAGTTCAGTGAATTTCATTGCAGAGCGTTGTGAACGCAATATATTCATTTGATAAAATTTTTCCATGACTCGACAACTATCTAAGTTCGATGATTTTTTTTTAAATATTGGAATAAAATTGTTGCTATGGTATCAAACAATCAAATCATCACATATTTTTCGGGGTTAAACAGACAAATTCACCAGTAGTGTTATGAGCTCTAGCCATGGCCCATCATTTCCCAATGACTCACTGAGAACATCAGTAAATGTTGCAGTTAATTGTTATTCCGTTTTTTGTGATGTAAATTAGCGAAGGAAACATCCAGAATAAATATACTGTTGAGGAAATTTCAGTATTGCTTTTCTTCTGGACATTTACCTTCATTAATTGTTCAATAACTATTTATTAATGAGTGGGTGAATTATCAGGTAAACAGGGACGATCAGGATGGCGAAGTTGGGGCGAGTGGGGCGGCCGAGGGCTCGGTCAGCAGTGGGGATACCGATGATTGCTTTGATGGCAAAGAGACTGACAAAGATCCAAAAAAGAAGAAAAATCGTTGTGCACTTTGTCGCAAGAAAGTAGGCTTAACTGGTAAGTCCTCAATTAAAATTTTTTTATTATATCTATGATTTAAGATGTCAGCTTCCCTCATTTAATTCTTTGAGATCAATTCAAATGAATTTATTCGTACTGAGAGCTATCTCAAGTACCATTTAATAATGTTTCTCCAAATCAGAGAAGTTTAGTTAATTTTAATATTACTTTTACAAAATAACAGTTGAATTTTTCGTTAAAAAATGAGTTATGAAAAATTATGAGTACTTCCAACTAAAGACCAATGTTAAGAGATTAATAATGATTTTTTTTTCAGGATTTGAGTGCCGTTGTGGTGGACTCTTCTGCTCTGTGCATCGATACAGTGACAAGCACGACTGCAAGTTTGATTACAGAGAAATGGGCGCTCAAGAGATACGGCGCAATAATCCAGTTGTTGTTGGTGAAAAAGTGCAAAAAATTTGAACTATTTTAGTGTGTAGTCGTTGGGAAAAAAATGGTTATATAACTATATAAACAAAAACAAAAAAATATTACGAAAAAAATGGCAAAAAAAAAATTACAAAAAACATATGAAAAAAAAACACGGAAAAAACACCGGAGATAGGAGAAAACAAGTAACAATAACGAGATAAATTGTCTGGCAGCTGATTGCACATCGAGGAATGAAGAATGCAAGAGAACTTAGTAAAAGTATGTGAATAATTGAGACTACGAGTGGATGTATAGGTATGTCTGCTGATGAATGTGAGAGCAATATGTCGAGTAACAAAATGGGTAATGCAAATGCGTGAAAATTCTTTTTGACATACCAGCGAGAGTAATAAAAATCAGAATTCAAACATTAAAATGATTGGTAAAACATTGTAAAAAATTAAAGTGTGCGAGTGTGATGATCAAACACGAGTGTCAGTGCCATGTCAGATTGTCATCCTAGTGAGAGTTTCAACAGCCAAGATGAGAGAAAAAAAAAACAAAATATGCAAAAAAATTAATATCTGGTTACTAACTGCTGTCAGCATACTACTATTACCTACTATTATCACTATGATATTACGGTTTATTATTCTTATTATATTACGTTTATTAATTTACTTAAATCTGCAAAATTCGCTGGATAAAAACCGATAAAAAAACCGAACTATTAAAAAGAGTAAATAAAATTATGAATAAATTTATATTTAAGTAGACGCGAAATTCCTGGTGCAGTCAGTCAGTCGGAGATTGATCTTGTTTTGGATAAACGAATTGGGCGGGTGGGGCCGAGAGGGGGGTGGGGAAGGGAGAGGGGGAGGGGCTTGATTTATAAGTGTGACAGAGTCGATTTTTGATCTAGCCAAGGGAGCAAGAGGATGGGATGAGATGCCTCCAAGAACAGGCAAAAGAAAATTATGTTTTTTTTTCTTAAATATTATTATTTTTCTCTTTTTATCAATAATTATCTTTTTTTTTGTTCCTATATATATTGAGAAAAGGGAGTGTTGTTTAGGCGATGACTGACGTTGATGGGTGATCACATTTCTAGGTTTAATGAGTAGTCTAATAATTATTAAGTATATTAGCCGATTGATTCATAAAAATAATGCAATGAAGTATAAAGTAGTACTGTGTGTTTATTGTCCAATCTTCACGATGAATATAACGAGCATTATTACTTATTAAAGAAAAGAAACGTAAAAAAAATCTAACGCTGTTTGAGACATTACGTTGCGCGAATTTCGTGGGTTCTCATTATTTTTCTTCTCCAATTATCGATGAAAGGAAAGGGATGAAGATTGATGATTTTGCGGAGCCCTCGCTTGCCAAACAAATGGACACAATGCGATGAGCGTTGTCCTCGTGGAACTGCTTAACCGGAAATTGATAATCTCGGCTAGCAATATATTAGTTTTTTTTTTGTTTCACCCCGAGGATATCCAGCTCTCGTCATTGATCGACTGGCGTCTGTGTTTTTTTCAAGTAGTGTCAAAATAATTTAACAAATTTGTTTCATTTGTTTTCCTAGCTTTGGTTATGTAGCAATGACGAATGGAGGCAAATTGTAATCGCGATTTTATCGCCAGGGGAATACCCAAAGACCCGCCCACGATCAGAAATTTGAGAGGAGTTTAACAAATTATTAATGCAGACGTGCATATATTTGGCTTCGTCACTGACACCCTCGCAGAGATGGAAATTAAACAAAATAATGAAGAAATAAAGAGTTGGAATGAACGAATTCATCGACTCGTTTTAGTTTATTATCACGAATTTAATATTACTGAAAAATGAATGGGAGAAAAATTGAATAAATAAATTACTTCGTAGGTAGAATAAATTCCATCATATTGATGAACCGTTTGATGTTTCACTCGTGGACAGAATCGTGTGGAGGGATATACGAAATGCTGATATGGCCTCCTAGGGGAATGTGCATAGAAACTATTTGATCATTCGTCATTAAACGTTAATTGCGGAGAGGGATGTGGAGAAAATCAATCGCCTTCAATGGTCAATATCTCAAGATATTTAGTCAAACTTCGAAATGAGATAAAATTCATTGAAATCGTATCGTTGGGTCAGCAGATTGAGGATTAAAGATTGGTTTTGCCCGAGCTCCCCTGATAACTCACGTGATCGTGGACGGAGGTTTTTGCTTTCTGAATAAAAGGAATAGAAAAAATAAAAGGAACACAATAATAAAGAATCGTTGTTGCTTTACATGTTTATTCGCTTTAGGTAATACTAGTAATGGTGACAGAGCGCCGCTGCATCAAATAATTGCTGCCAATCAACCACTTTGTACGAATACTTTGCAAAACGTGAAAAAAAAACTGAAATTATATTATATAAGAAAGATATTTATGGACTGGTGAAACGATCGGTTTATTCAATATACTTCGTTTGAATATATTATTTTCTTGGACTAATTGAACAATTTCATCGCAGAATAATAACTCTCTTTAATCAGTATATCACATGATTTTATTCGTATGAACAATGGAATAATGTGCATCAATGTCTTCCTGTACTCACTGAATATTTATCCCTCTCACGGTTTTTCATCGTTAAATATTCCCATTCGTTTATTCACGGTTTCTGGATTTTTCTTTGTCCACTCAGGCAAATTACTTACCCACATGTGTCAAGTCTGGGCTATACTATTGTTTTTTCACATTTAGCATTCTCGTTTAAATGTTCACTTGGTATTTTTCACTGATTAATAATTAACTATTACTGGCAATTATGTGAGGGAAAAGTGTCAACTAATGAAAATGAATAAATAAGGAACGAAGAATAACGAAGAATGAACGTGCAGAAAAATAACGCACACGAGTTTTAAATTGGCACGACGAAGAGATAAAATATTGACGGTTGCCTTCAGGCCTTCATCCTATTTTAGGCATAGCATATTTTTCTAATATATACCGCAATATCGGACTTGCGTGGCAAGATTGATCGTACGATCGCTAACACGAAAAACAAAACTGAAGAAAATCAGGAAAAAAAAAATGGTAAAATGATGTGAAAAATAATATGATTAAAAATACGAGTGCAACTAAAGCAAAGTTATGAATGAGATCATTGAATGAGATCATTGATGAGGAGAGAATGAATGCGTGTGAATGAATATGGAAAGAGGGACAATGGTAAATATATAGAAGAAGAAAAACCGATGAACACTAGTAACAATATTTATGAGGAATAAACAATGGACAAAAAAAAACAAATCGATGGATTTATCAGTCGCGCTTATGCTCGGCTGAGAAAACTACAAATAAGGACGTAACGATGCTTGTAATTATTTGAAAAAACAAAATGATATTAGTACGTTTAAGCGATTAAATGAAACCCATAAAAAAACAATTAACGACATTTCATATATTATCCTTCGGGAAGGGAACGAGTGAAGTGAAGAAAACTGCTTTAGTACCTAGGTTTTTTTTCGTATTAGGTAAATGAATTTTTTAGACTAGACTAGGATATCAACATTGAAAATCCCTAGAGCCTTTTCACTCTTCATACATTCTTCGTCTTCACAAAGTTCTTAACGATAAAGAAACAACATCCATAATTATAGTTGACCATATTTATGTATATTTAAAAAAGAAAAGAAGAAAGAGAAAATATATAAATCCACTCATCCTCGAGAGGAGAGAGAAAAAAAAATCAATGGATAAAAATAAGAAAACGAGTCACACATATCTGCATTCAGCATTTTTATTCGTTTCGTAACAAAATTGCTACAGTAACCGATATTATTTTTTATCCATGTAATAACAAATTATTAACTATTTATTAATTTGCCAATGTCATCGTGGAGTATCTCATTTCGTTAATTCTTTCAATTGTCACTTGAATAGTCAGAAAGTAAACTCTCTTTGAAGCCGATAAAATAGATTTTAAGTGCACTTTTTCGCTGGCAAGTCAGGAAGATAATATCGAGTCAAATAATTATAAATCAGCATTAATTAAACAGTGAACAACTGCATTGTCTACCCAACGAAAGAGACACAGTTCATAGCTTTTCCTAAAGAAATTTCATTCTTCAAACTTGGAACATAGTATTATCATTTAATCTTGTTCATTTCTTGACTAGTACTCGTTTTTAATGTTTCGACGTGGGTTATTAGCAGACGGCGCAGCCGTCAGATATTTCTGAAGCGTTTTTACACTGGAGTGGACCTGCAACTGTTGATCGATCTTCGTCGGACTCTGCACTGGCAATGGTGGAGTTGATGCTGGTGTCAGAATACCAAGATCATTATCACACTCGATCTCCGTTTCTGTCAGCATCGAGCGATCGGACTTTATATACCCGTGATCCTCGATTGCAGCTATCTTGGCTTTTGGAATTTTAATGACAACGGTTTCGGTATTCTCACCATCATTACCCATTTTCGTTCCTTTTGTTGAAGCCATCGATGACTTCAATTGCAGAGCTGTACAACCGTTGTGCAGGATTGATGCATGGTTCTTTAAACCATACGGAGTTTTGTAGCTTTTTCCACATGAACATTTGAAGGCTTTACGAATCCTATTAAACAGTTCTCTCATATAAAACATTAAACAGAAAGACTGGCGGACGTTTTTTGAGCATTTCGTTTGTTTGGGGGGTGAAATTGAGTAATTAAGGGCATTCAATGCGATATTTAATCACATTATATCTCTACCAATAACCTAAGTTTTCTTTCTCTACAAGTAGAGGTGTAGAAACAATTTACATACTTGCCATCATTTTTGTGTCCATTCTTGGAGTGATATTTAATTCCATTGATATTTTTGTATCTCTTTTTACATCCAGGTACCGGACAAGCGAACGGCTTGTCGGAATTATTATTCTGAGCTGTCACACTCTGACTGATTACCCTGGGAATTAATAAGCGTATAGTGATTTTGCCCTATCACCATTTTGTACTCTTCCTAAAGAGATAAGCTTTTTTTTTTCTTTTTCCTCAAATGCGCCTCATGTACCTGCTGCCATAGCGTAGTATGTAGTCAGATGAAAACTCCTCCGATGTCGTCCACGAGTCGTTGCTGTCCTCCGGTTCACTGACAAGATCCTCGCCTTCTTCAGCTTCGCTCCCTGTAATGAGAAGTGTCAGCCGGAGACCAAACAATTCTCATTTACATTTTTTTGGCTCCCAAACGAGAGCTTTGAAATTGTTTAAACTTTAGTTTTCAATTTTTTTAGTTAGTCAACTAGATGTGGCGGAAAAAAATATTTCATCTTTCATCTCAAATGAAAATTCTCAGAAAATGCTATAAAAATGGAATTATTCGTGGGGAGTTGGGGCGAGGAAAACAAAAAGGGTGGAAATTCGGAATTTCGGTCAACAATAATTATACTCAGTTATGATAAACGTAATTATCCACATTGTCATTGTTGTACCTGTTGGAGTAACATTTTTGTTGCGATTCGTAGTGGTAACTGTGGTTTGATTAGATCGACCTTGATTGATTGGTTTTAGCAACTCTTGCCTTGTAGCGTCCGTCAAGAAACGAAGGGCATAGCTGAGAGGTATACATGCAGGCTGCTGCTGCTCGGATTGCTCCACCACCAGTGGATCGTAATCTGTAGATGATCAAAAAAACTAATATGGTAAGGAGCATTCTGATAGATTCATTAGAGAGACGAGAAAATATTCTCGTAAAAAAGACATGTAAAAGAATTATCTCAATGACATTCAATGTCAACTGAATGATCGCGGTTCACTCAAAAATGCAAATGTTTTTGTTTTAAAGCAATGGAATTATTGAAGCGAATCGAAAAAATTCATTTTTGAAGTTCTCCAATAGGTAAGACTATCTGAAAAATTCATTACTTTAAAATCAAAGCAACTGAGGTTGAAGAGAAAAATAGTCGATAAATTCACTTTGGGATTTTCTTGTAAATAAGACAGGCTTACAATAAATTAACTTAGTGTAATGAAATTGCAATGAGTCTGAAGAATCAATTGTTTTTCTGTTTGGAGCGAATGAAGAATCGAAATTGTTGGAGGTAGGTACAAAAAAGGATCTTCTATATCTTTTTCAGAATAAATTAGACCCCGCTAAAGATACATTCAGTGATTTATAAAAATTACGTATACATTTCAACTATAACTTCTTAAATTAAAAGAATACAATAATTGAGAGCCATTCAAATAAATAGACATACTACTGTCTACTCATGCAAAACGACTAAATAAAATTCTCAAAACGTCCTGCAATCAAATGCAATTTTAAAAATTCCCAAATTGAAGGGACCAAAGTTCAAACGTCAAAATACATCTAGACCCTAAATTTACACTTCTTCAATTCCAACGAAAAAATAAGTTGCCATCAACCTTGAAATACGCAAATAAAAGATAAATGCCCAATGTCTAAAAAGCCCCAAAGCCGAAAAGCTGTCATCTCCTTAAACTAAAAAATTTTTCTCAATTAAAAAATCATTCAAATGCCACGGAGCCTTGGGCCCAGATAACCTCCCGAAATTCTCAACAGGAAATCAAGTCACCCATAACCTCAACCCCCAAAAGGCACTCAAAAAATTCCCAAAAAGCCCCACCCCACAAAATAAAAATCCACCCATTACCGATATGTGTCTCTTCAATGTGTTGAATTAAATGTCCCAAACTCTTGAATGTCAATCCACAACTGTTAAATTTACAGACGTTGAGCATAAATACGGCCATATCAGTTCTCTCACTGAACGATATAACCGGAGTCAAAAGTGAATCTGAAATTCTTCCCAAAAAATGAAAACTCTCCCTGAAATTCTCTCAGAGGTGATTGAAAAATTATTCACAAATAAATTCCTTGGTTTGATAAAACTCATTTGTCACCGAAACAAAATCGAAACGTCAAATGACAGAATTCAGTTGGTGAATTGAGCACAAGTTGATGGAGGAAAAATACGCTCGGCTAAATTCGGTTGGTCGATAAAGGGATACGGTTGTTGGTAAGTGGTGATTGGGGGATTGAACGAAAAGATTCAAGTTCCGTTCTGTGGCGACTCAACGATAGGCTGGAGGTCCGCCCCTCCGTTCACTCCTTCATACACCAATTCAACATTCCAAAGGCCGGGTCTCCTCACCTCTTCCTCGACACTGCTCTTTGGTAAGTCCATAGCGCCCTGCTGTCCTGGCAAGTGAGTAAAATAATAACTTCCCAAATCATTAAACAACATCACCAGGACAAATAGCCAAACGTGTACATTCCCATCATTTAATTAATCCTCATTACCTTCTGGGGTGTCATTAATTTCGTTTTAAATGAAATAGAGTACTTGGTGCGGCGTTAAACGGAAACGGCGAGATCACGGGGGGGAAATTCGGCCATTTTATGGTGTTGCCGACAATTGGCACGTTCTCGTTCTCTCCAAAAGCCTCCAATTTTGTGAATATCATGACGACTCAACCCAAAGTCACCCTCTCAAATCATTTTTTCACTCAATAATCTGTCACCGCTCGCCCCCCAGCAATTCATTTTTTTTGTGTTACGTAACCAGTCGGGTTGAGGAACCATCGGATTCAGTGGCCATTGAGATATCAACGTTGTCTCATGTACCGTCGATAGATTTCTCACATAAAATTCTTTCCCACTACTGAAAAACTGACATTCCCGTATCCTTGGATTTTCCAGATATTCGAGTCGTCAGACATCACCAACAATCAACGTCAAAATGTTCGCCTGCACTCGATTTATTGCCCCAATCGCCAGGTCGGCTGTAAGTTCTCGAAATTCATCCATTTTCTTGTTGTCGGCAAAGCACGGAGGTTTTTCAATTACATAATCTTGACTTTATCATTCATGATATTCACGTGGTGGATTGGTTTTACAGATCGTTGCGAGTAGCAAAACTTACTTGCGTCCTCTCAGCAGTGCTGTGATCAATCAGAGCCAGAGTCTCCAGGAGAGCCAAAGGCAGACTCCAGTTTGTTTGGTGAGTTTATGCACATGAGGACAATTGCATAATGAGACGAATGTTATATAATAAGAGCCGTCTTTCTCTGATCAATGAAAATTATTTTTACCCTTGATATTCACCTATCTCTGATCATATTTAAAGTAGTGTCAACGTTATTTTTATCCTCATTATGGAACTTTTCTGACTTCAGTCGCCAGTTATCCGCAACTTCCAGACCTCAGCCATTAGTCGTGACATTGACTCGGCTGCCAAATTCATTGGGGCTGGTGCTGCCACAGTCGGAGTCGCTGGATCTGGTGAGTTTATCGAATCCTTGGATTATTCAAAATCTATCGAGTGGTCATTCGCTCTCATTCTTTAATGTCCAAATTCCCACTTATGCAACCATTACATAACCTATCCGCCTAATAATCCAGTGGTTCCTCGTCCATCCCAAAATTCCAGGCATTGGCATTGGTCTGGTCTTTGGATCACTCATAATGGGATACGCCCGCAATCCATCCCTCAAGAATCAAGTGTTCACTTATGCCATCCTTGGATTCGCCCTCTCCGAAGCAATGGGACTCTTTTGCCTCATGATTGCCTTCCTTTTATTGTTTGCCATGTAATTGTGTTCTGTCTTTCCTGAGTTATCTACGACGTTCGTCCTTTCCTCCAAGTTAGCTACTATTATCCATTATTCCTTGAATTTAGGAGGGAAGTTGGAAGTTTTGAGAAATCGATTTCGTTTGACATTTATCGATTTAGGGTTGGGTTTAACCCATAATCAAGAGACATGGTACTACCCTTCGCAACTTCCCTCCCAACTTATCCTTAAAGATCAATTCATTTTGAATGATTAAAATGAGGGATTGATTACTGATAGTTTGTTTGACTTCTCAGGTGCTGGAATTGGATCCGTATTCGGCTCACTGATCATCGGTTATGCCAGGAATCCATCTCTGAAGCAACAGCTTTTCTCATACGCCATTCTGGGCTTTGCCCTGTCCGAGGCCATGGGTCTCTTCTGTCTTATGATGGCTTTCTTGCTCCTGTTCGCCTTCTAAGCCGTTGAAACAACATCCTCCATAACGAATTACCGATAGTTTTAGTGCGTCACTGCCAAGGCAGCGTCCATTCTCGCTTGAAACAATAGTAAGAATGCTGCTGTCTCTGGTCCACGGGAGCCCATGAAATCATTAAGGATGCAGTTACGAATTATCAACACGATAAATAAGGAATAATAGTCAATGAATAAATCCACTTGGCAAGATTGGTTCGATCGGGGCTCGCGACGGTGCAGCTCATCTGTTATTTCTTTTCATTTAACGCATTAAGGACATCAAAACGAGGCTGTAACACACTGAATTTAATAAATGACAAAAAATAATATCGATGCCACGACAGTTCTATGATTTTATTCTAAATCATAAGGAAAACCGTCACGTTCACCGTTCTAACCACTTGGGGCCTCCGAGCTCGTAATTATTTCATGGCCTACCGAATGAAAAATCATGTAGCGTTACTCACAATTGTTATTCAAGTATAAGAAGAAATTGAACAAGAAATGAATTTCATTGTATTGAAAGAATCGAGAATAGAAGGTTACTGAAAATTGTTCATAAGAATATCGATTTTCAAACAGCCTCATTACAATTGCTATCAATTATTACCAATTGGATACGTACGTTCCCCAGAGTAATCGGAATAATGTTATTGTCCTGATGAATCTGCACCAGCTCACGCATCATACGTCTTATCAATTGTTTGAAGGATTTTTTAGATCATTGAAATGAACTTTTTTTTTGCTGCTCTGTTACTCGAAGCGACTCATCATTGTTAAAAACCTCTCGTGTGCGCACGATTGTTCTCTACGGTAACTCTTTGCGAGGAATCTGTACAGTGATTATCGAATAAACATTCATGTCGTGAGATTAATATTATTTTGTGGGAATAATTCATTGAATTTATCATAATCTTCCATACTCCAAAGAAAATTGTAACAATTGAAAGATAAAAATAGAAACACTCGTGAAGACTCCATCAGTCGATAACTCCATAAATTTATTACGATAATAATTTTTACAGTCAGTTCATGAATAAATCCATCGTTCAATATTTCTCCACGTTAAAAGTCTTTACGCAAAATGAAATTCACGAATGAATTACGACGTCAAATTAACCCCGTGGTTGAGAGGTTCGCCGATGCTATTGGACGGTAATCCATTGAGCTGCTGAAGAAGTCCCTCTCTCTCCCTCAAACAACCCCAGGCCTTTTCCTGCTCTTTCCTCGTCAGTGGTGTTTTCCTCTGCTTGGAAGTTATGAGTTTCTTGTAGTGCTCCACGACCTCATTATCAGCAACACTGATTTTACGTTTGAGTGCCTGTCTCTTGCTCTCCTCCTGAGCCAGATTCAGAAGTCTCTTCAATTGGGCTACATTATGACTAGATAATGCCATGAGGTCCTGCTGGCATCTCTTGATCTCCGCAAGAATTTCATCGTCCTCTTGATTTTTCCTATTGACGTCAGGCTCGAGGATTCCCTGCTCGACCAACTCTTTGTGCATCCTCAGCTCCAGATTCATGGAATTCTGAATGGAGAGATCTCGCAGGACAGGAGGATCTCCGTCCCTGAACAACTTGTTATCGCTATTATTATTAGCGACATAAACATTCTCCTCGAGCAGAGCCGAGACTAGTCTCTGGGTGAGGGGTCCAGCCATGCCATTGACTTTTTTATCAGCCTTCGAGAGGAGCCCTGAGACGTCAGATCGTCCCTTTTTCTTCTCCCTGTTGGGGTTTGCTGCGTCCTCCTCTTGGAGGAGATCGTTGTGTGCCCAAAGATAACTGTAATGCCTCCCCAACGGAGGAATCTTCTTGAAGTCCCCAGCATCCGAATGAGAAGCAATCAGCTCCTCCAACAGTTTGATATCGTCAGGCATGATGTCAGAGCAGTAGGGATCCACCGACGCCCAGAATTTATTGGTCGTGTCATTTTTCGGTAGCAGAAGCTTTGGTATATCCGTTTTTGAGCCCTCGATTCTCACGATCTCGTGGGGATTAGGAACTATTTGATTGGAAGAGCTTCCAGTGGATTTGGCCTTGAACAATTTTGCTGGCAAGGGTGACTGGGTTTTGACATTGAGGTCCTTCGTCCTGGACTTCTCTTCGCGGATTTTCTTGTCGAAGGGCGACAGACCTTTACCACTCTTTGACCGCTTGTCTCTTCGCTCCTCCGCCGAGGAAAGACAGGAGATCTCCTCCTGGAGCATTCGATTCCTCACAACTACAGATGACAAGAGTGTTTCAAGCTCCAGCTGCAGGATGTCCAAGTCCTCCATTCCCACACCCTCGTCCACTGGCCGTTGTAGGATACTCGTGTACCTCGGTAAGAGTTTGCTATTGTCACATACTTTTATCACTTGTAGGGCTGATGCCATCTCTGGAGAATCTGCACTCGTGTCCGAACCCTGCACTGGGGTTTGCACTTTGCTCGCACTGTCACGAACTTTTATTGGCGTTTTTTTAGTGTTCAGTTTACCTTTCCCCGACATTGTTTACGGTAAAATTGATTTGACACTTAATTCACAATAATTCAGGGATGTTTTGCACCACTGAGGTTATGCTGTGGTTACTATGGTGATGCTCGGGCCCTTGTACTTTTTTTTAATCAATTTTTTATGGACTTTTATGCAGTTGTCATTATTGAGCACTTTTCAGGATTGTTTAATAATGCATTATTGCATTTTTCGAACTTTTTGTTGGATTATTCCGAAAATTAGCGCACTACTCTGCTAATATGGCGGATGTTGGGGGTCGAGTACGTCAAAGGTAAAAGTTGCTTCCCGCGCATTTGCGAGTGGATTTCAAAACCACTGACGGAGTGAAAGATTTTTTTTTGTTGAGACACTTTTCAGGTAATAGGTTAAAAGGAGTTGTTTAAATCAAAAGAAAAATCACGATAAATTTGAAATAAATAAATTGATGAATACGAGTTATATAAATACAGTGTCTTTTATTTGGGTTCATGGATTATTTACAATCAAGTCGCCAACGTTTTCCCTGGAAAATTTATTAAGATTTGGTCATTTGTGATCCCTGCTCTTGTGTCCAATGAAGTGGACGTCATTTTGGTGATCGAGTGCGCGATTGTACGCGGAAAAAAAGCGTTTGCCGTGTTCGAAAGTTGCGATCATGATGGCACAGGCAGGAGCTACTTTGACTAAGCGAGGGATTAATCCAGTGTAAAGGCCACGGATTCCGTTCTGTTTGTAAATTCGCTTGATCGTACCGAAGGTCTTGCCACTGCGCTCTGGCTTGCCTGCAAAGAATTGTGTGTTATATATCGCAGATGAATGGATAATTTCTTGATTAATATGATTGTTAAAATGAATTCTACTCTTATAATAACTACTCTATTCATTTCTCGATTCAATCAGTGTATGAAAATATTCTCAAGAATTGGGATGAATTATCCTTTTCCATTAATGCACTTTCAAATACATCTGGATTCGTTTAGAAAAGGGGAGATACATCTATTTGTAATTACTGTTATAAATTTCACGTTCACCCATTTCAATTTGTCGATGTGTTTTAACTACGTCGAATGGAAGAGTTATCAATGCAGCAACCTGAAATCACATGAAAATAAATTAACGGTTAATCATCTGCTCCTTGAGATTTTATTTTATTCTTCCAGGTATTTAATCAACTTACAGAACCAGCTGTAGCACCTGCAGCGAGATTAAAGGTGAATGTGTGCTGGGTTGAGGGAAACCATCTTTTTATCGTTTCATAATTGAACCAGTAAATAGCACTGAAAGGTACGTCTCGAAGTAGAGTGGTACTGAGGCCCATCCAGAGTCCTGATACTCCGCTGTATTTAATTACAGTTCTCAAGGCCTCTCCCATTTCTGCATTTTCACATGAATGTTACTACCAACCCGAGCAATGAGAGTCATGAATAGTAGCATTGAAGTATCACCTGCATAACTAAGCCTTTGTGATTGCATTTTAGTTCTGATTAGTTCCAGAGGACTGACCAAAGTTGCTGCCCACACACGTGCTGTTGCTCCAGCTACGATGGGGATCCAAGCTGGTTGCTCATGTGAATCATCTTTCGTTTTGAATTTGTTGTTGTAATTGTCCTGGATTAGAAGTACGAGCGTTTGAACATTTGCTATTGAAAATTCTACATAATTTTCAAATTGTGATAATTATGGTGATTCACCTTTAGATACAATCGCAATTGCTCGTAAGAAACGAAATAAACTATAGTGGCAGGTACAGCAAGCACAAGAGTGGGACTAAGTCCACTCCAGAGTGAAAAAATCCCCTCGCTCCGTCCAATCTTTACGAAAGCGTCCTAAAAATCAATTCAAATATAAAAAATTCCCAAAACTCTCCTTTAAAAAAATGATAATAATCAAATTTGTAATCCTATCTCCAGTAGTTGCTCGGAAATATCTCCAGAACTGAGAGAGATAGAGAAATTACTATAATAATCTTTTTCGAAGTTCTCAATCAAGCTTATAAAAAATATTCTGATAAAAATTTAGTTGTCCCTTTATCTTGAAGATTTCATAAAAATTCATCGGAGAGGTGAATCGACTCGTTTTATTACGTGACTACAGAAATAATCTGTTGAATTACCAAAGTCCCATTGAATTTTCCATTCTCCCTCATCCAATTCGGCAATTTTCCATTGCATGAACACAAGTGATCCATCAACCCATTACAGTACAAAAAGCATTTGTTGGAGAGCATTGCCTTTTGCTGAGCTTGCAGTCTGGTTTTGACAACATCCAGAGGTGTAACTACGTAAAAATAAAGAGGATAGTTGTAGAATTGCATCAGAATTGTGCCGCATGGAGTAGACCAAAAGCATTTCAATGAGTATCCATTAACACACCCATGAGAGATGTTATCAGTGCTCCAGAACACGATGCAATCATCTGCTGATAAGGCTTGATGCGATATCTCGGATCATCCAGATCAATTTCACTGAAATTCTTATTCAAACTCGACATTTTCTAGGTTAGGCGACAACGTGAACGCTTTTCTTTTCGATTGCACTGTCAGTAATCTTTGATTTCACTCAGTTTCGTAACAGAATTGATGAGCACAGTCACAGAATATGTTCTCCTTCATCATAAGATCAATTGTCACGTTGAAAAACGTAATTCACCATTCATTAAAATTTTTCTTAGCCTCTAAGAACCGATAACAACGCGTTCATGACTATGAGATGCGCATGACTGATTTGAATGTGGAGAGACGGTTTGATGATGATGATGAAATTAATTTTGTGGCACTGACTATGTTGTCTTGCGGCCGTAAATATGGTTTGAGAATGGGATAGATAATCTTTGGTATTTTATTTGATGTTTCATTCACCCTTGTGTTTTAATCTTATCACTTCTATTGATTTTTCTGGAATGATCTCGAATTTGCTTTTCCACTCTGAGCAAATGATACTCAATTATCTCAAAAATTTCTAATTTTCAAATTTCAGTGAGTACCCCTTCGATTTTGATGTTCCCCTGATACTTTTTCAAAAATTTCGCCTATACCTTAGTCAATCCTCTCTGCGCGTACCCACAGAGGGTGAACATAAAAGTTCTCTTTTTTCCAGTCCATGTTTTTTTTTAGTAAAGCATATAGTTGTGTATCTAACAGGTTTCAACATGTATTAGCCGGTTCTCTATCGATTTACGATTAGTCGTGTGGAACATATCGGGTATTAGTCACGGTGTTTAATTATCGACGACAAATCAAACTTCTGTGGAATATATTGAGTGAGCTAGAGCCTGAACGTTATCCAAAATGCCCCCCAAGGCAGATCAGGTTAGAATTTCAAGTTTATCATTAGCAAAAAAATCTATAATAATTAAAATGATGATTAAATTTGATGCATACCAGAAAAGGAAATGGTGTGCCAAACAAAAACTCAAAATTGATTGTCAATATCGTAGTTTCATTTTAAATCTTTAGTCTTCGTTATAATTGGTGATAGGAACGCACCGTGTTCGTGATCAATGTTGTCAGTGAAAATGGATCTGATGACAAGTATCTGATGAATGCTAAGGAAATGACGAAGAATATGATAGAGAAAAAGGTACCTGTATTTTTGTAATACATAAAAAATGCCTGTTTCAGTATTTGTTTTCACAGTGCTATTTCTAGATTTTCACTAAACCGAGACACGAAGCAGGAATCATTCTTATGGGTGTCAAGGATGATGATAGTGATTTTCGAATCTGCAATCATCAGGAGATTCAGTCGGTATCTTGGGATATGGTGAAGGCGGTTTCAGAGATCGAAGGTAGTGAGGGTGTTTTTACGAAATGGTTGTCGGGATTGAAGAGTGCTTTGAAAATCATCAACACGGCATACGGGTACTTTTTCACGAGTACTGGAATTATTTCATTATTCGAGCGAACGGAATTTAATATTATGATTTGGTATTTTTTTTCTCAGGCGATTGATAAAATGCAAGATTGTGCTCATCTCGAATTTCCCTGCAGATCCATCTCAGAACTTTAACAATTTCGACAAACTTGTTGAGCACTTTGTAGATTCTGAGATGACGTTTGTGTGCTGGTAATTATTCTAATCCAATTCAGTATCATTGACAGATTTAGCTGTCTTAAGACAGTCGGATTGAATAGTCATTGAAAATGTTTCTCTGTTCTTTCAGTGGCCCGAAGAATTTGCAAGATAAACCTCCTGAAAATCTCAATAAAAATGAACAGAAGATTTTGGAGTTTTGTAGAGCAGTACTTACATATTTTAATTATTTTTCAATTGTTGATTAACATAACGAGCATTAACAAATCACGTAGTGCTTACATTTTATTTGAATTCACAGGTGAATGGATTTTACTGTCCGTTCGACTACATCCTTCCTGAATCGAGGTTCTACGAAACCGGTTGTACGAGGTTTTGTCCATGGATGTGTAATTTGGAAGTACATAGCATAAAGATTCCAATCAGGGTAGCTGTCAGGGTAAGATAATTTCCTAGCAAATGTAAAGGTCGTAGGTTTTAGATTATCCCCAGGGGTTAAGGCGGATTTTTTTTCTTTTAACCGTATCACATTTTTTCTTTGCATTTTTTGTGTACTGAATGATTCTGAAGAACTGAATCATTCCGATATTTCAGGCCTCTAGAACCAACACGAAGGCAATGTGGTCTCTGGTGTCAGTAGAGACTGCAGACGGAGAGAAAAGAGCAGCTCCGGTTCCAATAACTCAAACAAAAGAACTGGTGGACCGATACAAAACCGTGCATGAGAAGCAAGACACAGTCAAGGGTTACATGTGTGGAAATAAATTCATTCCTGTTACACGTGTGTATAAATCGGCCCCTGTAATCTAAACGAACGGTCATTCTGACAAACTGTAATTGTAATTCTGTAATTGTTTCGATAATTCAGAAGAGGATGAGGCAGGCATGGAACTTGGTCATGAGGCTAAATCCTTCAAGCTGTATGGAGTTGCCAAGGCTGAAACCGTCTCAATCATCCACAGAACTGGCCCCTCAACTTGGCTCGTTATGCCTGAAAACGTATAAATTTATTTGGATAAAATATTTTATGATCATTCAGTATACCACAATATACCTTCCATCAATTCCTTAAATTCAATGATTAATCTGTAAATTACTTTTTAGGGATTTGAAGAGCCTTTCTTCTATTTCCTTCAGGCTATGAAAAATTCAAATCTCGTCGGTTTCGCGAGGAGAAATTATCGCGATGGGGGTAAATCTCCAATGATGAATTTGTTGATTCCATGCACAGACGATCCTGAACTTCCCTGGGTAATATTACAGTTGAATCCCGTTACAGTCACAGTATAAGGTCGCGGCAAATAAAAAAAAAATCATATTATTTAATCGGATTTTTTTTAGTGCTTCCTAATGTACCAGCTGATATTTGCGGAAGAAGAGCACAAAGTCGATCCAGTATCATTGAACTCTGTAATAGAGGGATTATCTAAAGAGGAGAAAGACACAGTTGACGAACTCATCGATTTGATGTTCGTCGAAGGTGAAGAAGAAGGCACGTCGAAAAATATTGTTCCAGCACCTGAACGTCAACACCTCTGGAACGTAAAGGCATTTCGAGCTCTACATCCAGACGAGCCCCTTCCTCCTCCCAAAGACTATTTAATGGCTCTTCTGGAGCCTCCTGATTCCATCAACGCACAGGAAGTGAGATATTGCGTTGAGAGGATCAAGAAGTCATTCGAGCTGCAGCCTGAAGAAGTTATGTAAGTAATGAAAGTATTATTGGTATATTCTCTATACTTCTCTATTTTTCTAGGAAAACAAACCTGTAAAATTCTGTATGATTTTTTGTTGTTACAGGGAAGTGGCAGTAGCAGAGGGAAATAAAATTCCAGACACTCCTCCTAATGACGTGGTTGATAAAGAAGAGGAAAATGTGGATGAACGGGATATGCAGAATCTCGATGGAATGGTAGGTTTCATTTTATGTCACCTATGATTCGTACTAATGATTCTGTTGTGTCTATTACAGTTTGCTGAGTGATGAGTGTTAATACCGCATTTCGCAGAAAAGCTTGTGTACCTTACGTCAACTATTTTATAATCGTACAGAAAATATTTTTCTAAAAATGTAAGATGTTGTATTACTTAATTCGAATGTTCAAATACAGAAAAAAATTATTTTTCATAAATAATAATTGTTTATAAGTAATTTTCATTAGACATCGATTGATATGCGGAAATAAGTTTGATAAGCAAGAAAAATTGAGTTACATGTTTATTTATTTTTTTTATATCTTAACTATTGTATAAACAATATTATATAACAGATTTGCAATTTTTTTCGAAAGATTCGAAATATTCCGTATATTATACCAATTGCTCATTGATAACAGAGAAATCTAGTTTTTCATCCTGCGACGCTAGTGCTCCACTGTTTTACTAAAAACATGTGTCACAATTCACAAGTGGTGTAAATAAACAGTGTGTTGTTTTTATCGCAATATATCTACGAATGCTTACAAGAAACAGTTAAACGTCATCTGTAAAGATGAGTACGACAGGTAAGTACTTAAATATTTACGAATAAAAAAAGCAACCAGCAAATTTTCTTGAGAAAAAAAACTTAACCTCAAGAATCCATTCCTCATTCTTCTCAGAAATAGAAAAGAGTCTTCTGATGATAATCCTGGACGTGAATCCCGTCCAGCGAATTGTGAAACAAGAGGCGAAGATTCTTAGCCAATGTATAGAATCAGTAATAGTATTCGCAAATTCTCACCTGATGCAGGCATCCAGCAATGGTCTGGGGTTGATAGCCTGTCACGGCCAGGGGGCGAAATTCCTGTATCCAGAGCCTGAGAAATCAGTAGAAGTTCGACAATTTGATGGCCAATACGAGAAATTCACTCTGGTCGAACGAACAGTTCGTCAGACACTGCAGAGAGTAATTAATGATCTCATAAACACAAGGCCTCTCAATAGTGAGAGTCTGATTTCTGGTGCTCTCTCACTGGCACTTTGTTATATTGCGAGGCTGGAGAGGGAGAAAGTTCCTGGCGAAAAATTACATTCCAGGATTTTTGTTGTTACTGGGAGCAATGATTCTGCGACGCAGTACATGAATTATATGAATATTTTCTTCACAGCGCAGAAAATGGTGAATACGCATGGGAAATCGATCCAAAACTATTGATTTTTACTGATTTTACACTAAGAATCGTTTTGGCAATCTGTTTCATATATTCCAATATTTTTTTCTTTTTATCCCAAGGGTGTTATCCTCGATGTCTGCAGCCTAGATCAGGAATTAACTCTGTTGCAACAAGCTTGCGACATAACAGGAGGAAATTACTTGAAAATTCCCCAGTTAGCGGGTCTCCTCCAGTACCTATTGGTAATCTCTCGAAATTCCCGTTAGTTTTTCCAGCCGAAATAAATCCCCAGAATAATATCGTAATTATTAACCGTTCCAGTGGGTCTTTTTGCCTGATCCCGAGGTACGTGCCAAACTTGTTTTACCCCCACCTGTCAAAGTCGACTACAGGGCAGCATGTTTCTGTCATCACGAATTGATCGATATAGGATACGTCTGTTCGGTCTGTTTATCAAGTACGTTCAATACTTTTTCTCTCTACTTCGATAAAATACCGAAATAAACCATCAACTCACCCATAAATCTATTCTCTTGTCTCCACAGTTTTTTGCAAGTTCAGTCCCATCTGCACCACATGCCAGTAAGTGAAAAAGATCTATAAGTCTCACGTGTGTTCACTGAAAGGGAATGACTCACTTGTGTAAATATTTGTTGCAGCACTTTGTTCAAGATGCCAGCTCCGATACCAGTGAAAATGAAGAAGAAAAAAAAATTCGCGGAAATTCCATGATCTCTATCTCAATGTGTCCCTCCACTAGTGATGAAGTGGAGGTGACGGCAAAACATCGCTATTTATTATTTTGTAGAAGTACATTCCCATAAATACACAATTTTTTCTAATGAATTTTATACTGCTTATTAATGATATCGTCCATCGATTTTCACATTCACCAATTTCACTTATTCCCATCCCTTGCAGAATTTCCTTCTCAATTTTCCCCGATATGACACTCGTCATGCCTGAGATTGAAGAGAATGCATGCTCTATCGTGAAATCTCCAGAAAAAGTGATAATCCTCGCTGAGTACTTTTCCTGGGTTTTACGTTTTCCCACTACAACAGACTTCCGTTATAGTCACGTGCATGGGGCTGTAGGGGAAGCGAATTAAAAAAATCCCGCTATATGCAACTACCCCCACCCCGCGCTCGATGCGACAGCAAATTGTTTTTTTGGAAGGGATTTTTTGCATAACAAATTCGAATACCAGAGAAATTTATTTTTTCAGCATTATTTCTCACAGAATTAAATTCCTTTTCGGACGCAACAATGGAATATTTATATCTTGTAGCCCGGAGGTAATAGAATGGGGGAACCGAAAGATACGCGAAAAAACGAAATTGAGGAGAGGTGCGACAATAAAAGGATTTTACTCTACACAAAAAAAAAAGAATTGGAGAAAATTTAATGGATTTTCCATTTTCGTTCACTTTTAATCTAATCCCCCAAAACTGCGTAACTCGATAGGCCGCACAAAATCATATCTTACCCATCAATTTTCCCTGGGAAAAGCACCACCTGTATATCAGCGATTAGCTAATCACCATAACCGTCAAACTGAATATTCCATGGCAGCAGACCCACATGCCCGTATAGTACCTCATGCGTGATCCAGCATTGATAAAATCCTTTTACGCATACAACTGGTTTGAAATGCACCTCTGTACTAAAATGTATAACTTCCCTCACCCTTCCATCTACAACTCGCCCGATTGAGTATAATAGAGACAGGGTGTGTTTTGCGTGTTTCCCTATCTTGATTTAAACCTAACAAAACAGCAGTTGATAAAGAAAAAAAAATGAAGGCACAATGTTTAAGTAGGGCATAAGAAATAATGCTGGGATAATAAAAGCGCGAAGGAATAACACACGGGGGAATACGATGATAATTAATTAAGGCACACGTTAAGAGATTGACGTTGGGGGTTTCGTTGAGGCACATGCAACCGATGGAATAATGAATATATTCCCAATGATTCAGGGTCTTGGGGGAATTCAGTAATTTTTCATCGAATAAGGAGTGGAGATGTTGTTGGGGGATTCGAGAATGGATAATTGATGGAATGATCGGGTGAGAAGGTTTTATTTTATTAATTGGTTTGTGCACTGCTGTCATTTTGATTGATTTACTTTGATATTCTCGGGTTGAAGGATATAATAGAAGGATTGTGCTGTATTCGTTAAATTCGATTTATGTTGAACCTCGATTTACCGCATATCGAGATTTTTGTTCTGATGGTTAACTAGTAGTAGATGCTGTAATTGTCAATTATCTTTGAATTCAATGCAATATTGACAGGCTATGCGCCAGTATAACAAAAATAAACAGTTCAATTACGATCTTTTTGTCTGTAGCTTTTGATGTTTATAGAAATGTGAATTAAGGGAATACTCAAGGGTAGAGGTTTTTCTATTTTAATGGCTCAAGCATCCGGTAAAAGTGAAGAATATGAATATTGGTGGACAATTGAAAATTCCGATGAAAATAGACGGCGATTATTTGAGGTTTTAATCGATTGCAGTTATTTTTTATTTTTTCGCTCGGACATTCGTTCCGTTTTTTATCCCGCAACACGTGCGCTCGTCAAATGAGAAATACAAATATTGATAGACGATTCGAGAAAACAATAATGGAATAATTGGATGAGCATTCGGCTTCCACGAAATTCTCTTGTTCAATTTCATATTTCCGCATGTTAAACACCAGTTCTCTGTATGATTCGATGCTTCTCTTTGCAGAAAACTTAAAACTACATTAATTGGCAATTATTTTATAGATTCGGTGAAATACTGATACTCGAAGTTCTAAATACAATATGAAATAAGTAGTCCGGTTTTGCCATCCTTCGATTCTCATAAAAATGTAAATGCAGAGAAAACTGAGGAGTTGGAGCCCGGGGGCTTCATTTTTCTTCTCTGAAGTCGGATTATTTTGTGAGATGAAGAGTATGAACACTGGCAAGTGATTGGAGACGAAAAGCATTAATAGGATGAGTGTTTCTCCTTCATAAAACCGAGATCTTTCGACTCATTGAAATCCTCCTATGTATAAAATTCTATTCATTAAAAGAGTTCACCTTTGATTCGTTCCCCTTCTCGAGTATCTTTGAAGTTTATCAAACAAGAAATCCAAATACGGAGAGATGCCACGATGAGTCAATAACAGAGCAATGGAAAGGTGAGCAATCCTCCTTTATTGATTATTCCATCTAAACCTCGATTAATTGCTAATTATTCTTGAGTTCAATGTAAACATTAACATCTCAAAATGCAATATAAAAGAGGAACTCGAGTTCTGGATGTACTTTGATCCCTTGGCAAATGTAAATTGAGAGAAAAGCCGTAACACTATTGTTTCCAAGAAATTCAGCGAGTTGATGCCCCCAGGTCTTTCACTTGTCATCTCTCAAGTCTCATGTAACTTGTGTGTTTTAGAAAGGAGCAAAGTGGCAAGAGAGATCCAGGGTTAGAAGTAGAGGGGCTTTCACGTTTGTCGATGAAACTTTATTGTCCAAGTCAAGACATATATTGTGTGGGTAAAACTCAAGTGCCAACACGTATCCTTCTTCAGCTGTTGAGATGGAAGTAAATGGTTGGTTGAATGGAGGTGTGATTTAGTCAGTACTTGTAGACAACTTTACCCGGTCTCCATCGATTTTAGGGAGATAAAATAGTCCTGGGGGCTGAGATGAGGTTGAAGGTGGATGGAGAATAGGTGTGAAGAGACACCAGTGCAATCCAATAACGATCCCTGAAAGAGAGTGAACAGGAGAACTCGAGTTGAGAAATTTTTTTTTTCTTTCATTATTGGAATTTGAAATGTTTTCATGAATAAATATCATATCTGCTGGTGGTAGGAAACGTGCGGAGTAGAATCCGCTGTTTCTCCTCAGTTTTTTATTTCCTTTTTTTTTGGATCAAACCGCGAGAGGAGGAAGAGAAATGAATAAAAATGTGTGCGACCCCTCACGTTGTAAAGCAAAACGATGTGATCTTGAACATCAGGCGCATTGATCATCCCCTCAAGTAATTTTTATTCGTATTTACATAAGATATCCTCGGAAGTGGTGGGGGTAAATATATTGTAATATTTCATTTTGAATTTTTGCATCGATTGAAAGGCGGAGAGGATGAGGAAACATATATTCAGACTAGACTCTTAACTCAACGTGTAACGCTTGGTTAGCGATATTGCTTGCCAATATTTTCCTGCAGCGATTTATGGATCCAACATCTTCAGATATTTTAATGTAAGAAGATGAATGAAAGTTTACTGGTTATTAGTTTCAGCGCTATGCATATTGTTAGGAGTTAGGCTTGTAAGAAGGCTAACTTTGAGCCTCGGAAAATTGAATAATGCATTTAAAAATCGCTGGTCTTGAGGGTAAAACTAACTAAAGACGTTAGTGTTCCATTTTTTCCATCCTCTGAACTACTTCTTGCTGAGTCTCAAACAAAACACCGGGTTCCTGTTTCTCGTTAAAATTAATTGGCAGAGAATTGGCAAAGAATTGGCTTTCGGTGCTCTTTGACGTTGAAAAAAATGAACTGTAAAGGAATAAAAATCGAGGCAATTGTTGCAGCTCGTAAACTCATAAATGTGTGAGTGCGAAGGGGAGACTGCGTAGCTGATTTTCGTTGTTGGAAAGAATGAGCCGAAGTCTTGAGAGCGTTCGAGTGGAATACAAAGACTAAATTAGATGGGGATTCAATGCTTCAAGAGTCAACATCTCAGCAACTTTCTTCATCGAGACAATGAGCGTTTTCCAGAGATATCTTTGGAGTTTACTGCAACGAGATATTGTTCGGTAAACTCGGGGAAGATTGGAGAATTAATAATTGGCGTGAATTTTCCAGGTGGGAAAGAATGGAGATTGAATGGAGATGAAAATTTTCAATTGTGCATCATAAAAGTCTCGCGATATGCGTTGGGAGTCATGGAGCAATTGGATTGACTGTTGAATTCGAAATAGTATATTGGAAAAATCCTTTTCACCCTTGAAGATGATGGAGAATATCCACAAGGTGGGGGGATGCTGGGGAAACCACCTGAGGTGTCAAGAAAGGGGTTAAACTTGGGTGAAAACTTAAATGCATTTTGTTTCCAAGTTTCATGGTTTGCGGGCCGAGCTCTCGGAGGAAATACCTATGGGATACCGGGACTTGGGTCTCAGGACTCATTCTCGTTCACGAAACACGCACCACTGAGGCATCAAAAGTCTTTAATGTAACAGGCACATGTACGTATTAGAAGCCACATTGGCTCATTCCCAAGTGTTGAATTAAAATTCATGACGTGACGTTAATTCACTCGGTAAAATGAGACAATGGAAGTTTATTCTGGTATGAATTCGGGTGACCAGGAATTTTATATTTCACCTGGTGCTCCGTGGGGGTCGTTGGAATGCAGGCGAAGTACGCCTCGAGAGAAAAACTTTTCAAGTTATTCGGACTTGGGAGAAATTTCAATTATAACTCAGGTCTCTTTCATCCGGGATCATTTAGGATTTAGTAGTGTGAATTTGCTCTGCGGAAATTGGCGCACGGAGATGAGAAATATTCAGTAAAAATTACGGAACAATTTACGTAACTCTCAAAAGGGAATTGCGTAATTTTTACATTTTTTATCTGATTGAAGATTCTCTCTGCTCGATCATCAATAACTTCTGGATATTGAATTGCTGAAGGAATCATTTTACAGTCAGTCTGCAATATTCGGAGCATTATTTTCGTTTCAATAACGATTCTCCCTCGGTTAAGAAGATTTACGATGCGGTGAGAACTTGAAAGATGTGAAAGGGTCATTGAGGAGACGAGGGGCGTATCATTTTTTTCAATTCACCAAA